CTCCGAGGCCTCTTCAAGATGAGTTTAAAGCTCTTAGGGTAGGGATGGGCCTCCCCTCTGCATCACTTATTCCCCACATCAATACGTCTTTCTGCCCGGCCCCCCTCCCCCAACCCTGTAATTGTGAAGTTGCCTTTGTGGATCAAGGCTCTCCATCTAATTCTAATATGGGTTCTCACTGTTCTAACCTATCCAGACCTCTTCCATGTGGCTCTGCTGGTCTTTTGCACTGAGTACAGGCATCTCAGTCGTGGTTAGGGCAGCTTCGATCACTAGCTACCACAGGGCCATACTCTTCTCAAGTCCAGCTGATGGTACCAGTCACTAAGATGGGATGCTTTCTTGCCAGGCTGAGTCCTTTCCTTAGGGATGCCTTAACTTGGGGGAGAGAAGAAGTACTGGGAAACCTATGAAGGGGACGATGGAAATGCACATCACGCAGAATCTGAATGGTGCCGATGAAAGCCATACAACTAAGCCACAACTTCCTGAGTCTCTACTCTTGGCTCCCCAACCCTGCTCCTAATTTGGGGGAGACGTGCTTACAGTAGGGAGATTTGGAAGGACAGAATTTAAGGAGGCCATTTATGTCAAGGGCAATATGAATTGCACCTACTATCTTGACCTTCAAGTTCCCAGCTAAAACAACAGGGGCCTGAGCATAAGTTGAGGGCAGAAGGGCATCGTGCTGCTCTATCCTTGTGGCTTTCCTCCACCAGCAGAGGCACTGTTAAGGCTCTAATCACGATGACATCACTCCATCAGGTTCAGGCTCCTATTGGGTGGAATTCTCCAGCTCCAGAAGAGCAGCAGCAGCAGCAGCCACCAGGATCCTGGTTAGCCTGTCTTCCTTAGGACGGCCCAAGTTTTCTGAGCTCACGTCGCCCTATCCCATCACAGACCTTAGTCTGACTGCGGCACAGTTTGCCCTGGCCCACATCTCAGTTTTCATTCTTAGCTTTGATAGCACAGCTCTTCTGTCTCTAGCATGTCCCAGCAAAACCACAACAGGCCCTGTATCATTTAGCTTCCCACCCAAATGCTGGGACTGCCTTCCACCGCAAGGGCTACCACAGCCACGCCAACAAATTATCCTCCCCTCCCAGGTCCGCACTGCCTACTGCCTTTAGACTCAAATGGAAATTACAACTGTGCAGCCTCTGCTGCCACCTCAACCCCCAGAGCAGCCGGGTTTGGGTAAATCCCACCAGCATGGCATCTAAAAGAAGCAGCTCCAACTAGTCACATCCAGTCCCATTTCTGGGTTCTTTCCACCTTTGCTTTTGCTCAAGCACTTGAGTTTTCCCTCCTTCAAGTAGCTCTCTACAATTAAAGAATGTCTTCTTGGATAGCCAGGCCTACAACTATACTTTCTCTGCCTATCTCCATTCTAACACCCCTAGGACTCTAACTTAGACAAGAATGCACTAGAACTGTGGCAGGAGCACAGAAGCCTGAGGCTGAGAAACCCTTCAGAGGAGGGAGGTCCAAGACAGAATCCAAAGTCTGGGACAACAAAAGCTAATATACAGGAATCCTGGCCTGGAAGGAATGATTCTTTCTGTCTGGCTTTGTAAATAAGAAGGGAGGGGAACCTGAAAAGTAACAGTGAGGCCCAGGTGATGGTACAAGATGATCCCAACAGGGCTTTCTTACAGCTTTCGCCAGAATGATCTCCCTGGGACTTTAGTGAAGGAATGAACCTAGCAGTGGTGCAGGTTAGGTGGGGGTGATGGGAACACTACGGTGAGTCGCTTCACAGTTTTACAAGTGGGTTAGGATTGGTGGGGAGATACCTGACTCCTGTAAAAGTAAACAGCTTAGAGATGCTGCTATCTAAAGTGAGCTTGCAAGACATCACCACTTCGGCTTGCTTTCTGACTCCGAGCAGTGTGTGACACCTGGAAGGGCCAATCAGTTGTGCCTATAAACTTGCCCCTGATAACCTAGGGCAACCAGACCAGAGGAAGGCAGTCAGCTGTCTTCCTTCAGCCCAATGCCCAGACGAGATTTCTGGCTGGAAAAGATACCAATATGCCTGTCATTGGCAAGACAGGCAATAACAGGCATCTCTGCCCACTGAGACAGCAATTGTGGACCCTAGGTAAATCCCACACTCTAGCACCAAGTTAAAGAAGAGATGGGGTGAGTAGGTCTTTTTTAGAGGATCCTATTATGAAAAGGTCAAGAATATCAAGGGGTATCAATCAAAAAATATCAAAATACCCCCAAAAAATGGCAAAGAAAGGGGCCTAGTAGTAACAGATCTCAAACTATACGACAAAGCTGTAATCATCCGAACAATTTGGCACTGGGTGAGAATCCCATTCTATCTTGGGTTTTCAGCTCTGGCTCCACAGATCTTGAAGCCGGAATCAGTCTTTGCAACCCTATTCCACCTTCCCCTAATCACCACATCCCTATTTCTTTAGCCAACATCTGAGCTACATGGACCTGTCACGTGGTCAGGTTTCCAGAAAGCAGAAGACTTCACTCTGCAGATGACCCGCCATCTTTGGCCACCCTTCCCTTCCTCCAAACTGACTTGGGGGCTTTTGTCTCCTGGCACCTGGCACTGCACCCTGAGGGGAAGGGGAAGGCTCACCAGGAGTGCTTCATTAGTGTTTTCCCAAACATCCAATGTATTCCTTCTATTCCATCGTGTCTCCTCCATATTAGAAAGATCTGGATCCAGGCATAGGAGCTATCCTGCATCGGGGTCCCATGAATTCTGACACAGAGTCACTCTAGAGTATAGGCAAGGGGTCAGGTGGTCTGTCACAGCTGCAGCTGTCTGGTCACACCCATAGAGAGGGTCCTACAGTACTCCCAACACCACACAGAGGAACACTAGGGAAAACCACTAAAGAAACGCCCGAGTCCCCAGAAGTTGCATTGCTTTTTGATGAAGAACTCTCACCCGGTTTCACCTCTCTCTCTTTCCCAGTCAGACCAGACCCAGATAATAACACATACCAGTTCTGACTCTACTTACCCATGCTACTGTGTATGTGCAGGCTCAAAATGAGAGCATAATAACTTCATTAGAGCTACTGATAGGAAGTGTGGTCTTCCAGCCCCTACAGTTTAACTGGCTGAGGCCATTCTGCCCCTCCTTTGCCCAATCCCGCCACTCCCATGCCGTCGTGGCCCTGCTTCTCTCGGGAAGAAGGTAACACCCTGCGCCTTTAACAGAGCTGAGCTGCACACTGCTGGCCAGCTTGCCCGGCCTTGCCCAGGCCCTCTGGCCCTGCATGTGTAAACGCGCACTTCGGAGGGTGCTTGCTCTACTACTTGACTCTGTTTCTTTTCTTCTGTGATGTTATCTTTTTTAGGGCACTTACCCACTTAGAATTTATCGTGGTGTATGATGTGGGCCACCAGGCTCTATTTTTGCCAAACTTTTCCAGTTTCTGCAGCAGTTTTGGTAGGAGAGAATTCTGCCCCAAGCAGTTCATGTTTTTGAGTTTCCTCTTCCTTCCTGTCCTTCTGGCTAGTACTAAGGACCACTCTGATCATCTCCTCTACCCACTCTGTATGTTCAAAGTCCTCCCAGAGGAAACGTATTGTCTTTTGCTTCCTGGCTTCTCTCTATCAAGGATAGAGGCCTGGATTTAAGTTACTATCCACTAGTTTTCTTTCTTCATCTCCCACCACATATCCCCAGACACAAGACTTTGAAGACTGCCCTTTTCAGGGCAGAAGTTGCTGAGTTCTATCCTACTCTCAGACTTCATACAGTCATCTGCAGGCCCTCCCTCCTAGGTGACTCAGGAATTGACCTACTGCTGCTATGGGAGGGCTCTCAGACTCACCTAGGAGTCTGATCCATTGACCTGATCTCCCACCGAAACAGGGATAGTGTCAACTACAGCAAAGGGCCAACTGACTGGGGCCCCCGCCCCAAAAACGTGGGCTTTGGTGGGCCGCAGAAGGACAGTGCCCACGCTGGGAACCTAAGGTCTCTGGCTTGCCTTGATCTGCTAAGCTTACAACACTCTCCAGTTTCCATTTCTCCAGCTGGGCCAGATGATCAGGGGTGCTGAACTAGAAACATGAGCCATGATGAATCTAGTATCACTAATGCTGAGAATCCTGTTTCTGCCAGCAGATGCCCAGTTACACGGGCGTGGGGCTCTCTTGCTTATCCAGCGGCACTTTCCCCTTCCCTAGCCCCCTATACATTCATATTGGTCCCACGCATGCCTCTTCTCCCAATCTTCTAGATGATCAATACACTGATGTTACTGCCAGGGCCTCATGACCTCTAACACAGGTGTACCCAAAAGAATAGTGAGGAACCAAGGGGTTGTCAAGAACACAGGGGTTCCAGACCTTGTGATAGTCATCCTTACGAAAACCGTTCTATGTTCTCTGTGGCCAAGACCTCAGGCAACTTATGCAGCACACAAGACTTCCCCAGGTGGAAAAGGAACCTGAGGTAACAAAGACACACAAATCAGGAACACCAGATCCCTGAAAACACACAGCACTGGTGTAGAAGTCTGGCCTGTTTCTTCCTCTCTCCTTCTTTCATATATATATATATATATATATATATATATATATATATATATATATATATATATATATAGCTGTGCAACTGCAGGATAATAGCCTAGTGTGATAAACACCAGCCTAGAGGATCTGTTCCTCCCTGATTTTATCTGCTGCCTGCAGGAGATAAAAATCAGGCAGCCTCAGGGTGAGACAGAGAAACTGTCCCCCTCCCTTAGAGCTATTGGTAGCAAATGCTACCTTTCTGACCCCACCGATTAAATGCCCTGCCACCTTGATTATGGTAGCAGCTGGATTAAAACAAACCCAAGAAAAGAAAGGGGGAAGAGAAATAGAGAGAAAAACAGGGAGGAAGATAAGAGACAGATGGGGGAAGGAGGGAGAGAGACAGAGAGAGATAACAGACAGAGAGAGTTTATATAAAATAACACAGTGTAGCCCCAGTAATCAGGGTACAAACTCTGGCACCGAGAAACAAAAACCAAAATATTAAAATACTTCAGCTTTTAGTATTTGAGAGGTTTTAAAAGGTTCTCCGGGAAGCCTCAGCCTGCTCAAAGCAGGAACAGAGGCAGAGGTACCGGGCTGTAGGCACCATCTTCACTGCCCATAGCCTTTGCTCGGGGCTAGAGGGAACATTTTATGTACACTGGAATGGGTTCTGGTAGCTGGACCCTGGGGTCACCTCAGTCTTTTACCACAGAAAACACCACGTAAGTCATATCTGATGATATGGAAAGGATATGGGTCAAGAAGTTAGGGTAAGTATTCTGGGACAACTCCAGGACCTGGTCCTAGGAGTCAGGATGTTAGGATGGAGGGGTTAAAAACATCCCCTGGAAAGATCCCTTGGGGACTGAGTAGATACTGTAGGTACCGAAGACATTTTAAGGACAGAGAGGGGAAGGTATTGATCAGATGGGCTCCAGAACTCTCTGGAGGCCATCAGACTTAAGTCCAGCCTGGTAACTAGCTCTGAGTACCAGACCTACCTTTCTGAAGGGCCTTTTTTGAAATGGACAGGGGTGTGTTCTGTTCCTCCATCCTGTCTAGCAAAAGATCCTTCCTGCCCCGCCCCACCCCCCTCACTGTCCAGCGATTAATACTGAGGGAGTGCCCTGCCTGGGGGAAGGGGACAGTGCCTAGAGGCACCGTGAGGAGTAGTAAAGAATCCCTCTCACAAGGCTGCGGCATCACACAGACGGGAAGCAACCTTACACCCAGGGAAGCTTCGAACAGGAAGTGCTTGGGGCCACGTGCCTGGCTGTAGGCCTTGCCTGGGGGAGGCTCTGGAGCTCTCTTCGGCTGCCCTGGGATCTTCTGCCCGTTCCCAGGTCAGGCCTTGGTGGGGTACTGCTCAGAAATGCTTGGCAGTTCTGGGCTATGTTCCACACCCCCGGGGTGGCTCAGTGTGAGGCTGGGGGCTCCCTGGCCATCATGAATGCTCACTCTGGTCATGGTGATGGCAGCAGCTACCTAGTATTCTGGAGGTCCTCCCGCAGCCAGGTGGGCAACGTCTGGCCCATCTTATACAGCAGCTTAGAAAGTTCGATGTTATGGTCCCGGTAATAGTCTCTTAGGAAGGCTCGTGACTATAACAAGAAAGGGAAACCAAAATATCAGTGGTCTACTCAGAAGCCACCTCTTCCTCCCTTAATCATCCCAGACCCTTCAGGATACCATGATCTATTAACAATCTTAGCAATACATTATTTCTTTTAAAGGGTTACTATGCTTTTTTTTTTTGTGGGAGTTGGGGGTGGGGGTGGGCAACTAGGTAGTGCAGTGGTTAGAGCACCAAGCCTGCAGTCAGGAAGATGTGAATTCAAATGTGGCCTCAGACATGTACTAGCTAGGTGACCCTGGGCATGTTACTTAACCCCTATTTGCCTCAGTTCTCATCTAAAATGGTGACATACAGAAGGAAAGAGCAAACCACTCCAGCATCTTTGCCAAGAAAACCCCATGACCAGTTCATGGGGTCATGGAAAGTCAGACACAACTGAACAACAAAACAAATCTTTTTCTGCCTGGAGCCCTAACTGGATTCTTTTGGACCACTGGGTCTGTGACTTCATTGGTATTCTATGAAACTCCTAATAAGGAAACTCCCTCCACAAGGCTGATCTGTATCTGTTCTACATTTACAGGCTCAGAGAACACCCTGAGGCAATGACCGAGATTTGTCCAGGACCACCAAGCCAATCCGTGTAAGAGGGAGAACTTGAACCCAGGTCTTTCTGACTATCCACCATGCCATGGCTGTCTATCCCAAATGAATTTTAAAGTTACCTAGGGGTAGAGACTGTCTGGCATTTCTTTTGGTATCTGACCATAGAAACTGGGGCATCAAAATCAACAGGGTAACTAGGTGACGCTACGAATACAGCACTGGGCTTAGAATCAGGAAGACTCATCACCTCAAGTTCAAATCCAGCCTCAGACACTTCCTAGCCATGTGACCCTGGGCAAGTCACTTAACCCTGTTTGCCTCAGTTCCTCATCTATACAATGAGCTGGAGAAGGAAAAGGCAAACCACTCTAGTATCTCTGCCAAGAAAGTCCCAAATGGGGTCACAAAGAGTCAGACGTGACTGAAACGGTTCAACAACCCCCCAAATGTATGCACAGAACTACTGTTGTAGTCACTGGGTAGGATACAAAATTTTTTAACGATACAGTCCCTAACCTCAAGAATTTATAGTCTAACAGGATGACAAGAATCATAACAACAACAATAATAATCAGACAACGATGATGATGACCATGATGATAGCTAGCATCTCTATGTGGTGCTTCAGAGTCTGCAAAATACTTCACAATATTTCCTGGCCATTTCTAAACCAAGCCACCTGAACTCTGGCCATACTGCTCCCCTTCCTCTTCCCACTAGAAATTAGGCTCTGCCCCTGGAATCTGCGCTAGACACATGAGCTTTTACTTTATCTTGTCCTAGACTAGACCACCCCATTGCCAACCAGTTCCAGAAACCATGCCTAGCTTCATGTCCCCACCCTTTTTTCTCTGGCCCCTCTTCATGCATTTTCTTCCCCTATTAGAATACAAGCTCTGGCTTGTTTTTATTTGCATCCCCAAAGTTCAGTGCAGTACATGGCACAAAGTAAGCACTTAAAAGTGTTTTACTATGTGATAAGTTTGTTAGAAGGGTGCAGAATAAAGTGCTTCTCTTCTAGGACTGTATCCCGAAAAGATCACACAAATGGGAAAAGGACCCACATGTACAAAAATATTCACAGCAGCTCTTTTTGTGGTGGCAAAGAATTGGAAATTGAGAGGATGCCCATCCACTGGGGAATGGCTGAGCAAGTTGTGGTATATGAATGTAATGGAACAGTATTGTGCTATAAGAAATGATGAACAGGCTGACTTCAGAAAAACCTGGAAAGACTTATATGATCTGATGCTGAGTGAAGTGAGCAGAACCAAGAGGACTTCGTACACAATAACAGCCACATTGTGCAATGACTAAGAATGTTAAACTGAACCCTTCTCAGCATTACGAGGATCTAAGACATCTCCAGAGGCCTCCGGATGGAAAATGCTGTCCACATCCAAAGAAAGAACTATGGAAGTCAAATCGCTATCACTTATTTTTACCTTCTGTTGAGTTTTGTTTCATCTTTCTGATGGTTCCTCCTATTGGTTTTAATTTTTACTTACAACTTCACTAATGTGAAAATATGTTTAATAGGAATGTAAATGTAAAGCCTATATCAGGTTGTGCGCCGTCTTGGAGGGGGGAGGAAGGGGGGAGAAAAATTTTCAACTCAAAAGCATATAGAAGTGATTGCTGATAAATCAAAATAAATTAATAAAATTTAAAAAAAAAAAGAAAGAAATGATGAGCATGTGGACTTCAGAAAAACCCGGAAAGACTTGTATGGTCTGATGCTGAGTGAAGTGAGCAGAGGCAGGAGAACATTGTACACACCAACAGCCACGTTGTGCGTTGATTAACTTTGATAGACTTAGCCCTTATCAGCGATGCAAGGATCTAAGACATCTCCAAAGGGCTCATGATGGCAAATGCCATCCACACCCAAAGAAGGAACTATGGAGTATGAATGTAGATTGAAGCATACTATTTGCTACTTTTTTTCTTCTGTGGAGTTTTGTTTCCTCTTTCTGGTGGTTCCTCTTATTGGTTCTAATTCTTCCTTACAACATCACTAATGTGAAAATATGGTAATAGGAATGTATAGTTACAGCCTTTATCAGACTGCCCGTCATCTTGAGGAGGAAGGTGGGGAGGGAGGGGGAGAAAAATTTAAAACTCAAAAACTTATGGAAATGATTATTGTTAAATCAAAATAAAATTTAAAAAATACAGAAAAAAAGAATAAAGTGCTTCTATGTGAAACCCAAGCAGAAGACCATTACTCATAGTGGGGAGAAGGAAGATTTGAAGGAAGGGTTGATGAGGTAGGAGGCAGCTGAACTGGGCCTCAGCCTACGAGCAGGAATACTAAAGCAAAAGGGCAAAGGGAAAGCATCCAAGGCATAAAGATTAGCATGACAGAAAGCCCAGGGGCAGGAGAGCAGAGGTATGTTTAGGGGCATAAACTAGTATAGTCTTTCTTTTTGTACTAGCCTTTCTAGATGAATACAATCTCCAAGAAATTCCAGTAAGACTCAAGAAACTTTTTGTTTCAGAAAGTCTGATGCCTTTCCCTACAAGTCCCTATGACCTGAATGGACCTAGCTACACCGTCACCTTCCACGCCAGCCAATTTGGGGCAAAGAAGCAGCTCCAGCTACTTACATCCAAATCCATTTCTGGGTACTTCCTGCCTTTGCTTTTGCCCAAGCACTTGGTCTTCCCTCCTTCAAGCAGCTGGCACCAGAATCCTTTCTTTGCATCATACCTACAAGGAGACAGAATACATTAACTCCACTCAACACATCTCCCCCATGAGACAGACATTTTCTTATATAGAGTACAATTCAAACCTAGGTCCCTAGAGACAGGCGGAGCACTTCAGCATTACAGAGACAAACCAGGCGCAATCTGTGTGATAAGCACTGGAGTTGGAAGTAAAAAGGCCAGGGTTCAAGTTTTGGGTCTGTCACTTACTAGCTATAGATCTTGGACAAGGTATTTCACTTCTCTGGGCTTTGGTTTTCACATCTGTAAAATGGGAACAATTGTACTACCGACTTCACAGGGTTGTGAGGAAATCCTCTGTTAACTTTGAAATGCTACAGAAAAATGAGCAGCTATCATCATCATCTTAGAAGAGAAGATAGTAATATACCTAGAAGGTTTACAAATTACAGTATCTTTAGGGACAGATCAAACCTATAGAAGAAGAATGGACACCAAATGTCCCCAAAAATAAGGATTACAGAAACATTTAAACCAAAAATGGAAGAAAAACTCACAAGTGTTGAAGAGATCTGGGCTGATAGCATCTCAGCTGCAAAGACAGACTTTTCTTTTTTAAAAATTGATGGGATTTTTGGAGCAATGGGGCAGCTATGGATGTAGAACTCTGCATGTACTGCTGGACTTCATCAATGTGCTAGTTAGTTTTGCTAAATTGTTTTGGTTTTTGTTTTTGGTTTGTTTTTTTCTTTTACCCACCTCTTTTTTATTCTTTGTTAAAAGACATGGCACTCTGAGTTGGGTAAAAGGAAGAAAGGGATAAATTGAGATGCATAAAGTGATATAAAAACAAATGGCACATCTTCTCAATATAAGCTGAAGAGACCTTGAATCAAAGAACATGAGAGCTGGAAGAGCCTTAAAAATCATACCTCCGTGCCCTCTCATTTTACAGATGTGGAATCTGAGGCCCAGAGACTAACGGTCCCAAAGCGAGTCAGTGGCACAACTAAAATCCAGATTTCCTGGCTCCAACTACTGGAATTTCTCCAGGTTGCTTTACTACACTTAACAATACATGCAGAGAAGAGAGATGAACCCTAGTAAATGTGAAACCAGATGGGACGGGAGTCTTTCTTCCACCCACAGGCTCCTGCAAAGGAGCTTACCCTGGTATATGGTATGAGATGTTGGTTTACGCCCACTTTCTGCCAGACTGATTTCATTTTTTCCCAGAAGTCTTTGCCAAATAGTGAGTTTTTACTTTGGTAGCTAGGATCTTTGGGCTCATCAAACACTAGGCTACTGTATTTATTTGCTTATGAATGCTGACGCTCCTGCCGAGGAAACAGCTATGCATCTTGGCACATGAGGGACAATGCCTATCCTAAAGAGGCCAGTGGGGTCCAGCGATTCTGGCTTCAGAGCTTAGGGACGTGCTTCTGACACCGAAGCACAGCAGACGAGGGAGGGCAGGTCAGAAGGGTCCTCGGGCTTTGCAGTTAGGACAACACTCACACCAGAGTTCTATGGTAATCAATAATGTTGGTCACCCCGAGGAACTTCTGCACGGTATCCATCACTTTGGCAGGTTCGGTCCGGAGCAGTTTGCCATCCAACACCAGGATCTGGAAGAGTAGTGAGGGGACTCTTGTATGGCCCAGTCCCACCCCACCCCTCCCTATCCCATAATCGGTCAGTGTGACCAGTTGTGGCAGGGAGAAGGGTACTGGCTGCAAATTCTCAAAATGGACTGGGTCGGCTACCTTTCTCCCAAATGGACAATCCCATTAGATTCATCTTCAAACCAGAGCCATTCTGGCTATGTAGAAATATGCTTTAGGGGCAGCTAGGTTGCACAGTGGATACAGCACTGGCCCTGAAGTCAGGAGGACCTGAGTTCAAATCCAGCCTCAGGCCAAACACTTGACACTTACTAGCTGTGTGACCCTGGGCAAGTCCCTTAACCCCAACTGCCAAAAAAAAAAAACCCTTTACATGACTTGATATGAACAATGGGTATCACATTTCTTGCCTTCTCAGGTGGTCAGAGGAAGGGATGGAAAGAGGGAGAGAATTTGGAACTGAAAATAATTTTTTTTTATTTTTAAAAAACAAAAAAACTAAGGCCCTTCCCAACTTCACAGAGGAAGGAGACCAAGACAAGAGAGGATACACCTGAAATCATGTAATGGAGCATTAGCTGAAGGAATTGAGAATAAATATCATGTGGAAGAGAAGACCTAAGAGGAATACAAAAGCTGCCTTCAAAAATGTGGAGGGCTGTCAAGTAAAAAAAAAAAAAGGATTAAGCTATATTTTGCTTAGCTCCAAAGGGGCAAGACTTGACAACTTGCAAAGAAATTTCAGAAATTCTGTAGAGGTCCTTGGTCTGTATCAAATGAGGCAGCTGGGTGGCACAGTGGATAGAGCATTAAACCCGGAGTCAGGAAGACCTGAGTCCAAATTCAGCCTCAGATCCTAGCTGTGTGACCCTGGACAAGTCATTTAACTTCTTTGCCTCAGTTTCCTCAGCTGTAAAACAGGGATAATAATAACATCTACCTCCAAGGGTTGTTATAAGGATCAAATGACAGTATGTTTATAAAGTGCTTTGTAAACCTTACTGCTACATAAAAGCTAGCTATTATTATTTAGAGCTGGAAAGGACTTTAGAAGTTATTGAGTCTAACCGCTTCATTTTACAGATGAAGAAATTGAGGTTAAGTGACTTGCCCAGGGTCACACACAAAAGCTATTAAATATATGAAGCAGGATTTGAACCCAGGTCTTCCTGATTCCAAGTCTAAGTACATTATCAACTAAGCCTCACTGGTGATCAGAGGCCCTCTGAGACTGAACGAACCGGTTCTCTAATTCTAGACCACTGAGGAAGGCGGAGATGGCCATGTGTCCTGCAGGAAGTTTTAGGAAAGCAGACACAGGCAAATTCATACCTTAGCTTGTTCAGGTTAAGAAACCTTTTTCGGCCAGGCATCCAGGCCCTTAGAGAGGAACAGCGCAGGGAGCTGCTCGTTTCCTGCACTTATCTGTATGACTATGAAACACCTGATGGAGCTGATGCTTCAGGAGGGGAATGGAGGCACCCCTTGGAGCTGGCTAACACCCCTCTTTGAGGGAAAATACACCAATATAATTGAAGATGTTGGCACAAGTACATCGTAGGAGCGGGACACAGGGGTCGAGAGAAACAAAAGGAGGAAAATCAGGGGACAAGCATTTATTAAGTACCTACTAGTGCCAGGCACCGTGCTAAGAACTTTACAAATATTACATCATTTGGTTCTCACAATAACCCTGGGAGGCAGGTGCTGCTGTTATCCCTGTTTTACAGTAGAAGACTGCATAAGGTGACCTGCCCAGGGTCATACGGCTAAGGAGTGTCTGAGGCTGGATTTGAACTCAGGTCTTCATGACTCCAGGCTCAGCACTCTAATCACTGTGCTAACTGGCTTTCTTTATAGGAGAAAGAAAGAGATATTTCAAAAACAGGCAAAGGCTCAGTGGAGCTCGCCAAATTGGCTAAAGAGTGAAGCTTACCTTTCCTCCCACTGCCCCTGCCAACTATCCTGCGCCCCCCAGGGTCTCCCTATGTCCCATGCTATAAAGCTCTGGTTCCCAATGATGTCAGCTGACAACTGAGGGCAAATGCTTAGGAAGTGATTCTTCCGAGGGACATACTTCAGACCAAATGGGTCGCTGTGGGCTTTCTGATGCCAGGCTACAAATCAACCAACCGATAAACATTTATTAAGTGCCTATCTATGTACTAGGCACTGGGATACTAAAGACAGGACCTGCCCCTCAAGGAGCTTACAATCTAACAGGGGGGACAGCATGCAGACAAATATCAAACAAAGCAAGCTGTACACAGGATACATAAAAAAACAATTAAAAGAGGGAAGGCACTAGAATTAAGTGCAGCTGGGGAAGGCTGCCTATAGAAGGTGGGATTTTAGCTGGGACTTACAGGAAGTCACTGGATTGAGTCTGTGTGGAGGAGGGGACACGCTTAGACCTGCATTTTAGGTAAATCACTTTAGTGAGTGAATGCAGGATGGACTGCAGAGAGGAGAAACTTGAGGTAGGTAGACCCACCAGCAGGTTACTGCCATGATCCAGGAGGGAGGCGAGACCTGTACTAGAGTGGTGGCAGTGTCAGAGGAGAGAAGACGACGTGTTCAAAAGAGGCTGCAGAGGTGAAACCAGCAGGTCTTGACAACAACATGGCTAAGAGGGGGAAGGGGGCTCGGGGCAGGAAGAAACAGTAAGGAGTCCAAGATGACTCCTAGGTTGTGGGCCTGAAGGATGGGAAGATGTGATGCCCTCCCTCTACAGTAATAAGGAAGGGGGGAGGGTTTAGGGGAAAAGACACTGAGTTCTGTTTTGGATTATATTGAGTTTTAGCTGTCTATTAGAAATGTCAAGGGGGTGGAGGGAAGGGGGATAATAATGCTCAGGTACCTCCAAAATCAGCCACCCTTCCACTGTCCAAAGACAACCAATCTGCCTATGCTCTTGGGCTCCCTTTTCAATAAGAAATCAAAAGTCCTTCAAGATCCAAAGGCATAAATCTCCGTTGGTGGAGACATGATGATATACAAAGGGGAAATATTTGGGGACTGCGTCCTGAAATTCATATTGAATCACCTCACCTATGTAAAAACTAACCCTGATTCCTGTACTATGCCAGAGGGACCTAGGGGGTGGGTACCTGGTTGGCATGGTAAGCGCTAAGCCAGTGCTCAATGTGGGTGGCATACCAGCCAGGAACAAGGCAGCGATTCTGAAGTGCCCGCAGCTTTGGGGAGGCATTAGGCCCTGCCGTGATCACTTCATGGAAGGTGTACTTCAGGGCAAGCGGGTCATCATGGGCTCTCTGATGCTGTGGGGTAGCAAGAGACTCAGATTAGCAATGCCCACTCTTCCTACCCAGGACCTGGAACACCCCCACCAGCTGTGACAGAAACTAAGCCAACCACTACTTTCTCCTGGTGAGAGATCACATTCGAGCCAGGAGGCACAGAGGGTGAAGAGGAGGCAGGAAGTCCTCCTTCCTCCTCTTTATAAACCCTAGGCAGAAAGCAGCCTCGAGAAATAACACTGCCCCCCACTGTACAAAATAACTCAAACCCTCAGAGAACTGCTTTCCCGACACCCTTCCCAAGGAGTTGGCAACCCCTGGTGCACGGCTCACCTGATACCAAGAATAGGCTCGGTCGGCCGGGTCTATGAGGATGGTGAGGATTTTGGCCTTGGGCAACAACGCTGCTGCCCGCTGAGGGGCCACCTCAGAGTCAAAGTAGTTGGCGCTTTTCTCAAAGTAGAAGTCAGAGGTGGTGTTGGAGGGGATAGGGAAGAACTCCATGTACCTGTTCAGGGCCCAGAGAGAGAGATGCAAGCTGGACAGGAAGAATAAGAGCACGACCAGAAGAACTGGGTCCCCACGGCAGTCCCACGAGGGCCGTAGGTTGGCTCTAGGGCTTTCCTGAGAATGAGGGCTGGGAGACATTTTCTCTTCCAGAGGGCTTGATGGGAATCCCACCATGTCCGCTTCCCAATCCATTCCTTTTGGGGGAAGGCTGGAGTGGTGGGATTGTAAGAATTTTATATGGCCAAGGTATCCCACTTCTGGCCTGGGGGATGGAAGTCAGAACTCAGGGGAGGATCCCCACCTCTGGCCTGGAGGCAGTTCAGAGACAGGCCAAGTAGGAAATGATTAAGAAGTTAAGAAACTTCACTGGATAAGACCTGGCTGGGCCACATCAAAGACCTGAGGTCACCTCTCAGCTGTGTCACTGACTGATTACTCTGACTTCTCTTGCCATGGAGGTTCCCGACACTCTCCTTACACGATGGCCCCAGGGATACTAACCAAATAAAATACTTGGGAGGCGTCCGAAACAAGCACTCGGGGAAAGAATATCTTTGCTCAGTTACTATATTGGCCCAAGAATGCATTTCAGACATCACTGCTTCTCTTGCTATTATGGTTTTAGCCCCCAAGACCCAGGCATTACCACCTCGGCCTCTGGGGGATAGGGCCCCGTCTCTGTGCAGCTTGCCTGAACTCTGCCCCCTTTTTGTCTATAACAGGAACCCCATCCGTGTGTAAACAGCTTCCAGATGCTTCCTGATACCAACTCTGGGCTTCCGATCTGACGCCCCAAGCTGGCCAACAAGGATGGAAAGCCCCACTCACCAATCTATGCCTTTGTGGTAGTTTTGGCCATTGAAAAACTGGATCTCCTCAAAGGTCTCTGGGCTTGGGTAATTACTGCTCAGGTCGGGGTGCATTCCCAGGAACAAATAAAGGGCTGTGGTGCCTGCAGGATAAGAGGAGACAGGGGTAGTCCTCGGACCTCCGCAGTAGCATACAGAAGGGAGGACACCATACTAGGGAGAAGACTAGGTATTAGGGGACCAACGATCTTGTTCCCACTCCACCACTAAGCAGCAGTATGACCTGGACCAAATCCCATCTCTCTACATCTGTTTCCTCATACTAGATCATGGGTCTTTTTTTTTTTTTTGGTATCATGGACCCCTTTGGACCGAAGGCTAAGTACCCCTAAATGCTCTCTAGTTTCTTACTACATGTCTACATGCTCATTCTCATGGCTACACACAGAGATCTGGCTCCAGGGAATCACGCTGCAGTGAAAGTTCCCCAGCATTTGAGAAGAAATAGTACACTGAGAACACCTCGAGGCAGCCAGTCACTCAAGAGGACAGCAAGGACTTCCAAAGGTTTCTTCCCAGAGCAAAGCTCCTCCCTTTTACACCAAGATACTCCTGGGGGATTAGAAGGAGACTTCCCAGCCATTATCCAGTCTCAAAAATCAGTGGCTCCAGCTGTCTCCCAAGTAAAGCTCGAGAGTCTCCCCTTGGTGTTTCAGGGTCTCCGCAACCTGGCACATTACATTTTCCCAGTCTTATTTCACACGATCCCCTTCCACAAACTCCACAGCCCAGAGAAAACGTCCCCTGAACCAGCCGAGTGATTTCCTGCTCCAGCGGCGAGGCTCGCCCGCGCCCTCGGTCTGTAGGACTGTGCGTCTCCCTCTTTCCCCGTGAGATCCCCCCCACCCTTCAATGCTACAAGGACTGGGGACCTGAGCAAACTCCAAAGGGCCAGGCTGCATCAATCGGCAGAGTGAATTTTTTTTCCACCCGTAAGGAGAATGAGAGGTAGGATGATGGGAATTTTTATTTCAAAGTAACATTTTTTTGTCTCAATAAACACGCCCGATTGGTTCTTCTACGACTTTCTCCAGAATGCCTTTCCTGATCCTTCCGCTGGGTAAAAACCTTCTTCCTTAGGCCTCCCACAGCACTTTGTCTGTACTTGTCCGCTGCACCTGCCGTGTAATACCGCCAGTTGTAGCTGTCTGCGTCTGTCTTCTTCCCCTCTGAGATGGTAATCCCCACGAGGGCAGGCACCCTCTCTCCCGGTGCTTAGCTCGGCGCTCGGTACACGGTGGCTCGAGCTGTTGCTCAGGTTGGGCAGTGCACGCAGACTCAGTCAACAAACTGCGATTCAGAGAAGTGCCGCATCCTCTCATGACTGTCCCGGGTACACAGGGAGCATCATGGGAGCCGAGCCAGCCAGGCTTCAGGGGCACAGAGGGACGCATACCTGTTTTTTGGGGTCCGATGATTAAGAGTTTGGGGAACCGGTCGCACGTTTTCTCCTTCGACCAGATGTCTTTGTGCCGCTTGTCTTCACAAGGATCCTTAAAAGCAAGGGGACAAACATCAAGGAGAGGGGCAAACTCCGTCTTCTGTTCCACCTACACCAAAGGTTTGTAACCCTCTACGCCAACAGTAATTTTTAATCTTTTTGGGTATCACGGACCCCTTTGGGAGTCTAATGAGGTCTATCATCCCTTCTCAAAGTCATGCTTTTAAATGCATAAAATACATAAGCTTGTAATGGAAACCAATTACATTGAAAGCTTTATATTATATAAAATATATAAGACTCTCACAATAATGAATATATTATGTGTGTGTGTGTGTGTGTGTGTATATATATGTATGTATGTATGTATTCTGATGAAACCTATGGGCCCCTTCACAGAATAACGCTTTCGAATGCATAAAATAAGTAAGATTATAATAGAAATCAATTAAAATAGAAAGTTATATAAAATTAATATATTAATATATAGTTTAACATACACACACATCTATTTTTTAAGTTCACAGATCCCAGTTTAAGAACTTCTGTTCCACGGGGCAGCTAGGTGGCGCAGTGGATAGAGCACCGGCCCTGGAGTCAGGAGGGCCTGAGTTCAAATCCGGCCTCAGACCAAACACTTGATACTTACTAGCTGTGTGACCTTGGGCAAGTCACTTAACCCCGTTGCCTAACAAAATACAAAAAAAAAAAAAAGAAAGAACTTCTGTTCCACACCTTGAACTGCTAGTTTGTTCCACTCCTATCATATTCTGCTTGGTATCAGTGACCTTTTCTCCTCCCTTCACCCCCAATACCCAACTGTGAGTACCGAGAGCCTGACAACTATCTGACTTACCTTGGCATCTTGCACAGAGCCCAGAACACTGCTGTTTAAAAGTGCTCATTCAGCGAACGTACATTCTGGCTTTGGCAGTGGGTAAATGCACCTGGAGCTTGAGATTGCCAACACTGATGGGGGTGGGGGGATGCCCCTTGTCCTGTTCTGTAACTCTCCCTCTCACCGGTACCAACTCCCATCCTGGGACCCTGAGCCCCACTCCCCCTACCTGCCACAGGGGGTCCTTCTCCTCAGAAAAGATCTGAAAGTATCGCTGAGCCAGCTGGACTGGCGGCAGCGTCTGCAGCTTCAGGTTGGTCCAAGAGCGAAGGAAGCGCGCCAAGTGTTTGAAGGTATACAATCCCAGACGATCGTTCCCATAGTTGGACAGGTGGGTCATGAAGATGCTGATCTGGTGAAGGCAGCGAAGGGAGGCTGAGCAAACTTCTCTCAGCAAGAGGGGCAGGCACTCCCACCACCCCCAAAGGGTGCCAAAGACAAACAGCTCACGAGCTGGTTGACAGCAGGGGAGTCATTTCCCCTCTGATTCTACAATCAGGGTACTGGACTAGATAAGAATTTCCCAGACTAAGAAGGACACCCTGGAGCCAGGCACGGTGGTTCACCCCACAATCCCTGCTACCCAAAAGGCTGAGGCTGACGGTTCTCTTGAGCTGTGGAATTTCTGAGGTGTACTGGGTGAGGCCTCCTTATCGGACGTTCTCATTCAAGTCAGCACTGCTGTGGCAGGCTAAGGAGGGACAAACCAGGCCACGCAGGAAAACAAGCGGGTCTAAGCTCCCATGTCAATGACACTGTGATTGTGTCCTGCAATATAGGGAGGTCCAATGTTTAAAGATTAAAAGTAAACTACTTTACCAGGGAAGGGCTGATAAAAGGAAATATTCCTAGTATGAGGGGACGAAGGGAACAAGTCAACCAAATTTGGGGGCAAAATAAAGCAACAATTTTTAACATTAAAAAATCTGCCACTTGTAATACTTTGGTATTAAATAATTTCATATTTAATGTTTTACAAGGGGAAATAGTAAAAGTAATGGCAATGATCTCTAATGTCCATTCCAACTCTGATGTTCTAGGTTCTGATGTCATTAGTAACTTTGAAATTCTATACTCTTAAGATTCTCTTATGGCTCTGAAAGTCTATAACCAAAGAACACAGTGCCTCGAAAGAGCCCTAGACATGCTGGCATTGAGTTACACCTTTTACTAATCAGTCAATAAGCACGGCGGTGTGCCAGGCACTACAGCAGAAAAGACAAAGCTAATCCCATGAGTAAGACTGCTGAGCAAGGATTACAAAATTATTCCTTAAATTCCTTAAACCAAAATATATATGTATAGCTCAAATATTTTATACACACACAAATACACATACATATATACATACACTATACATACACACATGTATATGCTTATACACATACATATCCTAATCGCATACACCTATACTCACGTGCATATATGTATAAGCATGCATGCTTACACACATATTTCCACGTGTGTACAATTACACGTGCACAAATATATATAGTGTGTATGAATATACACTACAGTGAGGGAAGAGAAGAATCCGAGACAGTATGTTTCAACCAAATGTTGACATGAGTGAAACAGACAGCTGGACAAATTAAAGGAAAAGAGAGATCAGTGTATTGTACGTGTGTGTGCGTATGTGTGTGCCTGTGCACATATGTTATACACATAAGTTACAGAATTTCATAAGGCGAGGCTTGAGAGGTACAGTGAAGAGAGCCAGCCTTGGCACCCGCAGGTCAAAGTCCCACCTCTGACACATGCCACCTGGGCAGCCCTGAGCAAATTCCTTAGCCTCTCAGTGCCCCAGGCAGCTCTCTAAGACTAAGTTACAAAGGAATTGCTAAAGCTCTGCCCTGGTAGAGTGAGATCACAAATTGGAAATTTCCTAGAGTAGACCTATGAAATTTCAGTTCTGGTTGGTTTGTTTTTTTAACGGCAAGTATTACTATTATCTATGGTATTTTATATGTTAGGGATGAGGAAATTAGGGACCAGAGAATTTAACTGACTCGCCCACCCATTTCTAATACATAGCACTATGTCCATCCTACGCTGAAGCCCACAGGGCCCACTTTGCCTCGGCCACAGACAGAACTGGGGCTGTCAAGGACCCCATCACGCTGCAGTAAGGAGGCTGATACTCACAGGATTGAGCAGCACAGTGAGGAAGAGCTCTCCCCCATTGATGATTTTGTCCAGTTCGCTGGAGCCTCCGGGGTACTCATTGTAGAATATAGTGTGGGTGAAAAGGCCGCAGGTCTGCCGGGGGAGGACCTAAGTGGGGAAAGGGAGGGGAAGAAAAGCATCCAGCACCCTGCTAGCAGGGGCACAAAAACACCAAGTCTCCAGAGGGGGCCACAGAGGACAATCCATGGTGGAAGGTTTTCCTGTAAGCCCATCAAGGTAACCACTTTCCCAATGGGAGTGGACCAAGCATGGGCCTTCTATTGAACTGGCTGGGGCATCCAGGCTGGCAGTGCCCAGGGACGAGGTGGCAGAAACAGCAGACGTCCCAGCAGAATCCTCTCCACGGAAGGTCCCCAAGCAGTCAGGACAACCCTTTCTATGCCCCAATAAACGGGCTCATTACCACTGACAGCCCAGGACAGAGTTCTAGGATAACAGTGAAGAATAGAGCACAGATGCTGCTGACTCCAGACACATCACCTATCAAAAAGTCCCACCTGCCTCCCTGTGAGGGTCTGAAGCCTCTAGCAGCCAAAGGAAGTAGGCAATCCCCATTAACCTACCATGATCCCATTGTGGATGAAGCCACGGCGGTAACGGGCAGGCTTCAGGTGGGGATACTCCTCTGTGCTGGTCACCTGGATGTCCCACACCTGCTTCCAGGCCTCATAAAGCTGCATGTGGACAGGGTACACGCCAGAATGGTGGGGAGCCACGGCATAGCCCATGTCGGTAGGGATCCCGTGCTCCTAAAAACAGAGACCGTTCAAGGGAGGACAGTGAGCACATGCCGTTGGGAAGACCCTCTTCCTGAAGGCCTGTTTCCCCCTTTACTGAGGAGCTGACTGAGACTCTTAGTAGCTGCACACCAAGCCCAGGGAGGTGACGGGTTTCTCCCCCAAATTGAGGAGATAGAACATAGACATAAGCTCACAGAACTAGAGCTAGAAGTAACCTCAAAAGCCGTCTAGCCCACTCCTCTTTATTTTATAGATGAGGAAACAGGTTCAGGGAAGTTAAGTGCCCTGCCCAAGGTCACACAGGGAGTAAACGTCAGAAGCAGGATCTGAACCCAGGTCCTCTGTCCCTAGAACCAAAGGGCTTTCCAATGTATCCCTCTCTGCCTCTCCTAAGGAATGTTTCTGAGTTGGGGGGAGTCTTTCCTCAGGTCCTGGAAAACTGGTTTAGCTTCAGGTCTGAAGCAGACACAGCTTCCTGGGTCAGATCGCACATCCTGCCTCACATCTGGATTGAGCTCAGCTCCTAATCTCATTAGCCTCATACCAGTCTCATTTTACATCTGCTCCTTCAATTACTTCCTCCCAAAAGGTTCCAGTCAAACCCCAGATCAAGGTTCTGACTGTGGCCCTCCAAATTCTTCAACTGGCCACATCACAGAGACATCCCATCCAGAAAGCTATCCTTGATATTCTATTTTCCAACCCATCAGTACCCTCCCTAACCCACCTGACTCTATCATGATGCCATTTAAAATATTCTATGTATCCCATCAGTGATTGACTGGATGAATACCAAACCTCTCTTATTTTTATATTTATTTTTACACAAACACACACACACACACAGACCAATTCTGGGGTTCATTGTCCACACCCCTGCCCCCAGTTGTGAAGAGGACCTGACTGCAGACCTTCTGCCATCCTTATTCTCTCCAACCCAGAGCCTGTTTGTGCTGGAGTGCTTTAGGTCTGGCTCTGAGCTAGAGTTTCTAGAAAATCCCATTCCTGGAGTTCTAAGCCACCATTGTCTCCCCTCCTTGTCCAACACTAATGTCAAATAGCTTCCAAAGGAGACTGGAAAGGTTTCTGGCTGCAGCATTTAGCAATAGTGCAAACCCAGGGGATTACTTTAAATTGGTCATCTAAAACTGGAAGCGGGGAGAACAGAAGAGCCTGTTTCAATGGATGGCTAATGAGGAAGAAGAGCAAGGGGCCTAAGCAGGGGAGGGGGAGGGATGGCACAATTACCAATCCTCTGCCACCTCTGCCCAGGCTCCCTTGAGCCTGACACTGCCAGCCCTCAAGGCTCTAAGTCCAACCAGAGCTGTATGGCAATCTCTGGACATACAAGGTGACTCAGATCCTGCCACTTAAGTGTCTGGTAGGTGCGGGGCAGACACACAACGTGAAAAATTAAAATGCCCCCCCAGTTATACATAAACCAATAGCAGATAAAAGGAATAATGAAACTCTTTTGGATATTCTGCATATAAACAGTTGTAACTGTATATTTAATATGTTTGAGCAATCTATTAAATCCAAAACAAATCTATTTTCTCTACTTTCTCCCTCCCACGAAAATGAAAAGATCAAATTTCACCCCTTTTCCAAGCCCTACCACCCCCAAGAAGTACCCCAATCCCACATTCCTCTCTCCTTCTATGGAACTCATCCAGCTATCTATTCATTCACCCTGATATCTGCTCACACACTGTCTTGGACTCATCTCCACTGTTAAATGAGTGTGGATCTTCCCTCTTCAGCTAAACTTAGGAGCAGAGGCTGCATCTCTTTCCTTTGTCTCACCCAGCAAGGCTGAGTACGTGCCCTGAATGCAGTATTTAAGGAGCAGGGTAAGGGCTGGGGTGGGGAGGGGGCAGGGAAAGGGGCCAGGAAGCACCCCACCCCGGAGAAGGGGTCTTACTCACGACAGCGAACTTCTTGTTGAGGGCCATCTGCTCAGCCAGCACAGACTGGTTGTGGAAAAGGTGGGGCTGCATGTGACTCCACATGTGTGGGAACCACCAGAACTCCTTCACATAGGACAAGAGCAGGTCGTCACCGTCGTCCTCAGCATCTGTACCTGGTGATGTCATGTCATGTCATGCCCTAGCCAGACTGGCCACTGGGGGAGTATGTGAGCCCAACAAAGCCCAGGAAAGCCAGCCTTAAGATCAAGCTCACAATATGGCAACTGTAGACCATGGACCACGGTGGGATAGAGAGAAAGGGACAGAGTTGCAAAACCCCATAAATAAGGGAAAAGACTAAATAAGATACAGCATGCTATATGTATTACTATTTTTCAAATGAATAAAGATATGAATTTTAAAAGAGAATTTTTTTTAAAGCAGAATCACAGCTTTAGAGCTGGAAGGGATCTCAGAGGGTCAAATATGGCCTTAGATATTTACTAGCCAAGCAACCCCTAGGCAAGTAAATCACTTAACCTGTTTGCCTCATTTTCCTCATCTGTAAAATGGCGACAATAACAGTAGCTACCTCCCAGGTTGTTGTAAGGATTAAACAAGAGAATATTTATAAAGCGCTTAGCGCAGAGCCTGCCAAGTAGGCACTATATAAATATTAGCTATTATTATTATTGTTACTATATTAGTGAATTGCTCAAGGTCATAGAAGTAGCAAATATCAGAGATAGGATTTGAACCCAGGCCCTCTGACTCCAAAGCAAATATTCTTTCCATTGTACCATGCTTCCTCCTATGTCCCTGCTATCAGAGGTAAAGGATAGTCTGAATAACAGTGCTTATGGAACAGAATCTATTTTTAATTACCCATACTAATTCAAAGGGTAGGGAGGAGCTGGAAACATCCCAAAGCAAAGATAACCCCCAAATCATCCCTATTTGGTTTGGGAATATAGTCTAAGATTTCTTTCCCTGCAAAATCTGCCTTTCTCATCAGGTTCTATCTGCCTTTGAGGTTTCAAATGGGGCTGTCTACGAAGACATATAAACACCACAACTGGGAGCAGGGCATCAGGAAAAAACTCCTGACACTTGCTGGAAAATCAGGGGTTGGTGTGGGCTGATGCCAAGGTGACGGCACCAGCACCAACAGACCTGGCTGAGGCACAGATCAGTCACCTCTGGTCAGTGCACACAGACAGACAACAGGCACTAACCCCTTGTTCCTGAGATTAAAAATAGGTGAAGAGCAACACCTTTCCCCACCACCTGATTACGGCAAGACTGCCAGAGCAACATCTGCACCCAGGGAAGCGCGTCTGCTGTAAGGACCAAAAGAACTAGCTTATCCCCAAGGGACCCACTGTCAAGTCAACTGAGTACTGGGTGGGGTGGGGGAACACTGTAAGCCAATAGTGAGACGTGACAGACAAACAAAAAAGGCTCAGGACATCTTGCGAGGCACTAAAAGAGCCACTGTGCGGATTTTACAAGATAAGGGGGAGCTCAGCGGATTGGTCTGCTCTTCGCTTTTGGTCAAACTACAACTGCAGCACTGGATTCAGATGGAGGCATCCCGCGCTAACACCGACAGCCTGGCAAGTATCCAGGAAGGGGACTCACATGGATAGAGGATTGGGAAATACATCATCAAAGAAACGGACGAGGGATGTACAGCTGGCAAACGGGAGACCTGAGTCAGCAGGGGGCAGATGTGGTCACCACTGCCAAATATCCAAAGGCTTCTCCTCTTAGAGGGATCAGATTTCATTTGAATTTTGAACTTCTGCATCACCCCCAGGGGTATAACTAGGAATAACAGGTGAGAGTGAGAGGGCAGCAGATGTACAGAATCACAGACTTTCAGAGTTGGAAGGGACTTCAGCAACCACCCAATGGAACCCTGGCCCATGATGAATCCCCACCATGCCACACTAGACCAGCATCTGCCTGAAGACCCCTGAGGACAGAAAGCGCCCTCCCCTTGTGAAGCAGCTCGTTCTGCTTCTGGACGGCTCTGATTGTTGGGAGGTTTTCTCCTCTCCTCCAGCTTCGCTCTGTCGCTTTACAGCTCCCACCCACTGCTCCTCGTTCCAACTTCTGGGATCAACGGGAATAATTCTAATCCCTGTCTTCTACGTGAGGGAGCCCCTCAGATATCTGAAGACAGCCTTGAGCCCTCTCCTCTCTTCCCCATCCTGGCTGCCCTTCTCTGTACATTCTCTAACTCAAGATAAGAGTTTTTTTTTTTTAAAAGAAGACTTTCTTAACAATTAGAGCCATCCAACAATGATGCCAACGGGCTGCCTTGTGAGAAAGTGAGTGAGCTGCCCATAGTTGGGAGTATTCTAGCATAAGCTAGATGACCCTAAAAATGATGTGAAAGAGGATATTCCTAAAAAATGAATATTAAAAATTATTTTTACAAGTAATTGGGAAAAATATACTTTGAAAAAGTGGATATTCCTACACTGGAAAGAAGGCCAGATTAAAATGACCAAGGGTCTCTCTGTATCCTATTAGTCTATGACTCTAAGATTCTGTAATTTTATAATAGTCTATCCCCCCTTCTACGTCTCACTCTGTCCCTTCAGAAAACCCAACGTCAGGCCTCTTCTGCCTCTCCCTCATCCCCAAGTTAGTCAACTTCCCCCTCTTACTGCTGATGCCTACACCGACACCTTCCTTGGGGAGAGAGCGATACCTGTCACATCTCAAGGCCATCCTTCTCCCTGCGCCTTTCTGTAATCTGTTGCCATGACACGTTTCCCAGCATGCATCAGCATCATGCCCTGGAATAGGCTCCTCCACCCAACTTCCCCAGTCACCTCTCAGGGGTCTGTTCTAAGTAAGAATTTACAACTGTCTCCCCTCTAACATCTAACTGGGTCCCAAATGCCAGAGGAGGTCAGCAAAGCAGGCACCGATGAGGTCAAATACGTGGCACAGGAACACGTCTAGATGCGTGCTGCAGCTCACATGTCAGTGATTATTTCATTATCTGTGTCTCTTGCCAAGTAATCCACAATCAGCCTAAAAAGACAACTCCTACTCAAATACCTACTGCTGGGGGATCTAGTTCTATGATTTAATCAGTATAGGAAATTATCTTACCAACACAGAGCTGCAGCTGTTTTACAACTTATAGTCAGGAGTTGACAGGGGGACTAGGAGGTCAAGTGACTTGTCCTGAGTCTCAAAACCTATTTATCCAAGGCCAGACTTGAACCCAGGTCTGTCTGACTCCAGGACTTGCCTCTTTTTTCTTTTTTAATTTCATTATTTTTGATAATATTTTATTTTTTCCCAATTACATGTAAAAACAATTTTTGACATTAATTTTTTTAAATTTTGAGATACAAATTCTCCCCCTCCCTCCCCTATCCCTGAGAAGGTCATAAGCAATTTGATACAGGTTATACACGTGCAATCATCCTTCCCTCTTTTTCTACTACATTTTTTATTCTGGTCCAGACCTCAGATTTCATTCATGTATGAAATCCCCCATGAGAAAACACTCTATCACAGCAGATCAGCACCTTTTCTGCACCTCGGAGCCTCAGAGTTGCCCAGGATACTGAGAGTTTAATGATACCCCAGGTCACACAGTCAGTGTGTGTCGGGGCAGGACTTCACCCAAGTCTTCCTGATTCCCTTTACCCTTTTACTAAGAGTCTCACTGACTAAAACCCTTCACAAAGTTTCTGTCCTTCTCCTTAGCTGCTTTCCACCTGACAGATGTCAGTCCCGAAGATAGAAAGGAAGGTTTATCTCCACCTCCAAATCCTTCTTTGGCTGGGGGTTGGGAAGGGGGTGGGGGGAGAAACAATAGGTATAGAATACTGTATATAACACCAGGGTTTTTTGCTCTATTGTTTAGTTTTGCAGGACATTTTTTCCCTTTCTTATTCTTTGTTATTACACTCATATTATTTATTATTTAGTATTACTCTTTATTATAGGGGGGAGGACACAGTGGGAAATCTAGGTATTACAAAAAGATATCAAAACAAATCTGTTTGTTTGTTTTAAGTGAGGTTTAAAGTGACCTAAGAAGCAGTTCTTTCTAACACACACGCGCACACGCCCACTGGCAAGCACTTAACAAGACCAGTGCTTCCTCAATCTAAGCAAACACAGTAATTACCATCCAAAGACATCCAAAAGGGAGACAACAGCCCAGGGAAAGCCAAGCCACAAAACTGTACCTTTCTGCAGCCCACATGGCTTGCTGTGCAAAAGCCTGAATGAACAGATCCTTGCAAAGGAAAATCAGGTCCCGTTTGCTCCCCCTAATAACCATGAGTAAGCCAGCAGGGCTTCTAATAGGACTCTTGTATGCCAGAAGCATAAAAAGTCTCTCTATGTAGAATTCCAGATTAGGAGCTTACAATGCTAGAGCTGAGAGGGACCTCAAAAACCACCGAGCCTAACACCTTTATTTCAGAGATGGGGAAACTGAGGCCTAGGGAAGGGAAGGGAATTGCACAAGGTCACACACCATGAGTTAGGGACAGAATCAGGACTAGAATCCACTCGGGCTCCTGGTCAAGTACTTCTGCTCCTCCCTCTCAGATTTCCCATCTGAAGAGAATCCACAGGGAGCCTCAATCTCTGTCTCAATTCCAGAACCACTCTAAAAGGCTGCGTCATCCACATTGGGACCCACTCGATAAGAAAGGGGGCGTTTAGAAGCCCACGACTTCCAGGGCTCACAGAATGCAGATTCACGGTGTGGGGCATCAGCTCAGCTCAAGAAGGAAGCATAAGGCATTGAACTGAACAGATCTCAGGCCAGTACAAGGATATCCTCCTGTCACGCTGAGCTGAAATTAGTGCGGGGGATGTAAAGTGCTGGACATGCCTACACCCTACTTCCAACCACTCAGGGATAGTAGGCTTAAGGTACACGTGAGGGAGGTTCTCATGGGCCAGGTCATTCTAGCATACTTACTTACCCGTGTGGAAGAATTTCCCTGAGTACCCCAGGTTGAAGGTGAAGTTTGGGATGTGTGTGCGCAGTTCATTCTGAGTGTCAAAAAGGGCCTAGGAAACAGAGAAGAAGGAAAGGACAAGAGAGTTACTCCTGCCCCCTCACCCAGCTGCTCACTGGGTTCACTCCCACCACCCAGTCTTGGTTACAGGCACTCTGTCTTCCTTCTGTCCTTTCCACAGCCCTGAGAGTTTACTCAAACTCAGACTCTACTACTTCCGTTTTCCAAAGGCGGGGGAAAATAATGACCCCAAGAGAGAATGGACAATGCACAGAAAGTCAGTAAAAGAACCTAGTGTGAAAACCAATTCCCCTAACCCAGCCCCCACTGAGTGCTATCCTGCAGGAGGAGTCCCAACTTGCATTCTTCACCGGAGGGAAGGGGCTTCAGGCACGGCAGGAAGGAAGAAGGTAAAACAGCTGGGTGTACTTCCTAACAATGTGATGGGAATGCTGTGACATTTCACTAAATCACAGAATTTAAAGATCCCTTAATGATTCTCTACTACAAACCCAACCCCTCCCCGCTAGCCAGTTTTGGACTGGGGTAAACCTGAGGCCCCCCAGAGGGGAAGTAATTTGTCTAAGGTCACCTGACAAGTTTTGTGCCAGAGCTAGAATCCAGGCCTCCTAATTCCAACGTTCTTTCCAACACCCAATGCACATACAGGGTCCCATCAGGGTCTCCCCTTTGACTTAAATACACAAACGATGCCTTGGCCTGGGCCATTCAATGACAGGTCTCTCAGGAGGCCTCCCTCACAGGCTAATGTGGTGGCTCCTGGTTCAGATGCCAAGGCCCCCATTCATACCTTCACATCTTCCACCTTCATCCGGGTGCCCTCCTTGCCCACAAAAATGTCATCAATGTCCACCAGGATATAGCGGTCCAGGGGCAACGACAGGCGCTTGCCAGTGAGGAAAGCGACAGCGTCCACAAAGACCAGCTTATGCAGCCAGAAGTTGAGGTTGTTGCCGAAGAGCACCCTCTGGATGCCATCATGCAGCCCCAGGTCCTGCACCACCGTGGTGTGCAAGGCCGCCCCCACGCTCAGGTGGGGGATGGACTCAGCCGACTTGGTCTTGGCCAGCAGCACCGGCTCATAGGTGGAGTGGTTGGACTGGAAGACGGTCCAGTCGTCCCCAGGCAGCAGGCCCTTCTCTACCTCACTGGGCCGGGTCACGTACAACAGTGGGGACTTGGGGTTGATGCTGCAGTCCTTCAGGCCCAGGTTCGAATGGAGGAAGAGAGGGAAGCCCTTGAGCTGAGCACTCAGCAGACTGTTCTCATTGGCCTATTGGGAAGGAGAAAATAGCTGAGGAACACAGGAGAGATAACAGTGACCGGCTTATTTATGTGCCTTACACATAACTACGAGGAGTCTGGCAGCACCCCTGGCAAGATGACCACCTGCACCTGCTGAGAGAGGTCAAGTTCTAAAGGTCTATAAAGGTTCTCCTCACAGAAACCTTCTCAGGTAGCTAGTAAACATCAGAACTAGGACTGGAACCCAGGACATCCTGACTCCAAGTTCAATGCTTTTTGTACTATACACCACTATGCTACCAGAAACAGTCAACAAGCATTTATTAAGCACCTACTGTGTGCCAGGCACCGTGCTCCGAGCTGGGGAGACCAGGAAAGAACACAGTCCCTGCTCTCGAGAAGCTTACGCTCCAAGAGGGAGAAAACACGTCAATCACCAGGTACACACAAGATATATACAGAGTAGATGAAAGGAAATCTCAGAGGGGGAAGGCACTAGCAGGTGGGAAAAGCAGGAGGGACCTCCTGTGGAAAAAAGGATTTCAGTTACGTCTTGACGGAAGCCAAGAGGCAGAGGTGAGGAGGGAGGGCATTCCAGGCAAAGGCAAAAACTGGTGCAAAGGGGGCAGCTAGGTGGCGCAGTGGATAGAGCACTGACCCTGAAGTCAGGAGGACCTGAGTTCAAATGCGGCCTCAGACCAAACATCTGACACTTACTAGCTGTGTGATCCTGAGCAAGTCACTTAGCCCCAATTGCCTAAAACAAACAAACAGACAAACAAAACCCAAAAACTGGTGCAAAGGCATCATTTTTGGCAACCCTCCAAACCACTGTGCCCTGCGCAGCCACCTGGCTTGACTTAATAATGGCTGGAATTTATATGGTACCCTGTGATTACGGAGACTCCTCTACCTCACTTGAGCCTCACCACAACCCTGTGAGATAGGTAGTCCTTTATCCCCGTTTTATAAAGGAGCAAACTGAAGCTCAGAGTGAGAATCTGACTCGCCTGCCTCTGAAGAGCGAGGAAACTGCAGTCAGGCTGAGGTCTCCTAACACAGCCCAGCACTTTTCACGCCACACCCCTCTGATGTGTTTACACTCCTCACAACGAAACAGAGCTGGGAAAGAGAGGAGGAACATGAGGAGCAGGAATCCCGAGATGCGAGGTGCAGCACTGTGATCCAGCTAGTCCCAGTGTTTAGACGAAGTTGCACAGCTAAACATTTTTAATGCCTTTTGAACATCTGCCTCTGAGGAATCACAGCATGGGACACATATGAGCTCCCAAACACGTACCATCACCTTGTGCTACAAGCCAAGTATGTCTATGCTGGTGATGGCCCCTGCAGCCAGGGCCCTCCAACGTCATTCAGTTCAAACCAGCCAGATAAATGAAACTCCTCTAAAATGTCCTCAACCAGAAGTCTTAACACCTCAAGTTAACAATGAACTTACAACCTCCCAAGACAATTCCTGCTTTAAAAACTTCTGTGATCACAGAGGTAAACTCCAAACCATGCAGCCTCTAAGGCCTCAAGAATCCAGTGCCAAGCTATCTTTTCAATATTATCTCCCAGCTCTCCTCCAAACACATGCTCCGCTATAGCCACAAAGGTCTACTCACTGATCCAGCCACACCTCATCCCCTTGCTCACCTCTACTTGGGTTGCTGTTCATGCTCTTTCCAACGGCTAGAGTGCCGCCCCTTCTTCTCCCCTTTATTCCAGACCTCAAGGTCCAGCTTGAGCCCTAGTTCCTCTAGAAAGCCCTCCCCGACTATTCCACAATAACCTCTCCCCTCTCTGACCTTCTCTATAGCACTCAGTCTCCACATGCTCCTCTTTACACTTCTCACACACCGCCTAACTGAGTTAGGTGTTTGTATGCGCTGTCCCTCCCAATTTGACTGTTGGCTCCTGAAATCATGGGGGTGAGGGGTTAGATTATATTTTTGGAATCCAACACTGTTTAGAGACTACAATGAAAAGAGTCTCGGACCGAATGTCAGGGGACCCGACGTCTGGACCTGGACCTGTCACTTGACAGGCTATGACACACTAGTGTTCCTCTCCCTGGACCCGCGTTTCCTCACCTGTAAAATGTGAGAGTGAGAGGAGATAATCTCTAAAGTCCCTCTATGATCTTCAAACCTTCACATTGCCTATAAAAGCCAACATCGAGCTGGAACTTGGGAATTACAGGCACTGGATTCCTTTGGGAACTTATTTTCTTGATCCTTCCATTAGATCAAAGAGTAGCCTGAAGTTCCCAGGAGTGGTCAGCTCCAGCTTTGCTCCACAGCCTGTCGTGACATATAGTGGCCACCAGTCAACACACTTGAGCAAAATGATACAGCCTGCAGCCCTGACCCACAGCCTAAGGAAGAGCTCTGACTCTTTCAGATGACCATGTGAGGTCACCCTTTACCAGCCTAAACGAACTTTCCTAATCTTCCTGTCTCTTGGCTCATTAGGGCTCCTCCAGAAAAGTGAAGTGGTCTTGAGACTGGACCCCTACCAGAAAGCCAGTATCATGCTATAGTGGAAAAAACTACTGGGTTCAAAACCCAACTCTCTAACCTATCTAACCTGTGTGACCTTGGCAAGTCATTTGCCCTTGATGGGCTTAGGTTTTCTACTCAATAAAATGAAGGGGGAAGGGGGGAGGGGTGGGGAGAGAGAGGGATAGAGAGAGAGACAGAGAGAGAGAGAGAGAGAGAGAGAGAGAGAGAGAGAGAGAGAGAGAGAGAGAGAGAGAGAGAGAGAGAGAGAGAGAGAGAAAGGAGCCCGTAATGGAGGCAGGTAGTCTCTAAAACCCCGTTCAGCTCTAGAGGCTGTGATAAGGGAGATGGGGATGGGGAACTCTCCTGGCCATAGGGAAACCTGAGCTTCCACTACCCCAGGAACTCCCAGCATTTGTATTTGATGGAATCATTCACTTCTGGGTTAGCAGTTTTGCACTCGTGTGCTCTCTCTCTCACTTTCCTGGTACAGTCTCACCCTACTCCCACACTCAGAGGGCAGTCTCTGATTAAGCTAATTGCACAGGATAGCTCCGAGTCCAGGCGGGACAAAAGTCAGAGAGTGCAGAGAGCTGAACTTCACTACATTTCGCAGCTCTAAATTACTACATTGTGAACATCTCGGACAAGTTGTCGCCCAGCCTCTGCTCAAATATTTCCACTGATGGAAGCTGCTTATCTCTCCTTCCTACTGTCCCCACCCCAAAACAGACCCCTAGGGCAGTCTTGATAGCCATAGTATGTTATATGTTTTTCCTTCTTTCAAACCAAAGGTTTCATATTCTCTGCTGTGTTATACATCTAGGACCATTTTGCCCCTCCAATAGTAATTGCCTTCCTCCTCCCTTGAGACTGCCACATTTCTCTGTCTATCTTACCCTATAGCCAGATGTTCCCCTATCCTCCTGCACATCTACTCACTGGTGTTTCCTTAGATAGACAGGGTGTCTCAAAACAATTAATGTAGTAGGGTTTTTTCCCTCCCACTGGCTTTCCTCCATGTCCAGAATGCTCTTATCCTCATCTCTACCTCCTAGCTTCCCTAGCTCTGCTCAGGTCCCAGCTAAAATCACACCTTCTATAGGAAACCTCTCCAGACCTCCCTTAATTCTAGTACCTTCCCTCTGCTCATTTTCTCCCATTTATCCCATCTACAGCTTGGGTGTACATAGTGGTTTGCCTACTGTCTCCCCTATTAGACTGTGAGCTCCTTGACAGCACTAACTTTATATCCCCTGTGCTATTTAGCACAGTGCCTGGCACATAAGAGATGCTTAATAAATGTCTACTTAGGGGCAGCTAGGTGGCACAGTGGATAGAGTACCAGCTCTGGAGTCAGGAGGACCTGAATTTAAATCCGGCCTCAGTCACATAACACTCACTAGCTATGTGACCCTGGGCAAGTCACTTAACCCCATTTGCCTTAACCCCCCCCCAAAAAAAAGTTTACTTACTGACTATATTAAGACTTCTGGGACACCCTGTATAAGCCCCTTCTCTCCTCCAGTCCTGCTGACCCACTAACAGAATCACTGGAAGCCATTCCCAGTCATCCTGATCTATATCTCACCACTGGACCCAGAGATGGCTCTGGAGGAGAAAGTGAGGCTGGTGCCTCTGCAGAGCCCTGCCTCACTTAAATCCAATTCGCTCGATGCCATGGCATCACCTCCCTGATGTCATGGTCCTCTTCAAGAACAAAGGTCAGACGACAACAACAGAATCACTAGGACCTGCGCTCAGGGAGGGACAATGAGCTCGCTTTCCATACAATAACGACAGTAATTACAACTATTTATAAAGTACTTTAAAGCTTGGAAAGCATTCTGTGTATTTCATCTCATTTGCTAACCCAGACAAGAGATCTTATTTCGGACAGCTCCACCAGCCTAGCAAAAATTTCTCTTTCCCTAGTGCCTGGCCCCTTTTGGTCCCTTCCTCCTTGTTCCCTCCACAAAATTCTAGATCAATCCTCAAGCTCTGAGGAAAAGACCACTGGATCAAGAGACACAGGACCAGGACTCAGCAGTGTGACTTCACCGAGCCTCACTTTGTTCATCTGTAAAATGGACAGGTCACGCCCTCTCTAATGGTATAAGCAAACCAACAAAGCCCTATTTTTCAGAGACCTGAAAGCGCTCGGGCCAGCTTTCTGTGAAGTTTGTACTCCTAAACCCCAATCCTAGAACCTGCTGATTCAGTCTTCTACTGAACCTGGAAAATGCCGTTAGGGGCATCCAGCAGTAAATCCTATGATTTACTTAGGGCTTAGGCTCCCGAGGCGGGTCACGGTGGCTTCCTCCTTACCGCCCCACCGTTTGTATCCAAAGATAGCACTCTGACTCCACCCTAAATGGGATGCAAGCTTTGAACTGTATGTATCTCTAGCAGATGGTGCTCAGTCCCTCTTGTAACTCATCGCAGGTATCTATGAGACAGCTGGCTAAGGCAAATACTCTCCCCCCTCCCCTAAGCTTCTGGCAAGGGCCAGGACTGAGATAAAGAGCTGAGACTGGCTAGAGAACAGAAAAATGCTAACTGGTTCAGCCAAAGGCTGACCTATAACACTTTGGTAACCGGGGCACCCCCTCTAGGCACCCAAGACACCTGGCCAAAGACACAGCACCAAACACCCCTCTTTCCACATCCCTAGCTTGCCCAAGCCCTTCCCTTCCCTTCCTTCACGGGATATCTCTTCTCCAAACCCAGTTACCTTGAAGAAGCCAATGATGCCAACACCATATTCCACGCAGTACTTGTCCAGCAGTTCCCGGTTCCAGGCATCCAGGTTGACATACTTGAGGATGTTCTCATAGATGATGAGCGCAAAACGACCCCGATCTTTGTCTGTGAGAGTAGGCATGTCCCCCTTCCCGGGGGCAATCTCTGTGCGGTACTTGAACCGGCTGGACTCAAGAATGGCCACAATCTCCTGGCCCAGCTGGGAGTACAGGCTCTCCACAAACACCAGCACAAGGGCATCAGTTCGTGAGGACGAGGACACCTTAAGGGTCTTGAGGGGGAGGAGGCGTGATGGAGTGATCTGGGGCTCCTCATTACAGTCAGGCCCAGTGACCTCACCTGAGGGCTCCAGGCTCCTCTTCCAGCCATACAGGTAATAGGCGGAGACAAAAACGCTGAGCAGGCAGAAGGCAAACAGCAGGAGCAGCACGGTCTGAGGGGATGCCTGCCTGCGAAGCCTCCTTGGGCACAGGGGGATGGTCATCCTGGCTCCTCAATGTTGCTTAGCAACCACCTCCCCCCACCCTCACCCCCCCCAATTCTTTTCACAGGAAGAAAAACAAGAATTCAATCCAAAGCAATAAATTAAAAATAATTAATAACAGAAGCTGTTTGTGCACAGGGATGAGCAGGGACTAAGAGTGTCTTTTCTTCCCACCAGGGAGGGTGGTCCATGGACTGAGCTGTTCTCCTTCCTCCTTGCCCTGTTTATGTCACCATGGCAAATCTGCTCCTAGTCCCGGGGCAGAGCAGAATTGGCCCAGGGGCGTCAGTGCCTCCTGGGGAACCTTGGGTAGGGGTGCAGGGACACCCTGATGCAGAAAAGGGCTTTCATGCTGTCCAGGTGGGCCTGCGGTGGCAGTGGAAGCCGGCTCTGGGAGGGGGAAAAGTAATCAAATTAGTTAGCTGAAACTGAGGCAGCAAAGCAGCAGGTAGACATAGGTCAGAGAGGAAGAAAAAGGGTCACAGTCCACACAGCATTTTAGTTTCTAAAGCAAAGCACTAAGGAAACAATAGAAGTGTTACTACTCCATTTTACAGATGGGAAAATAGGTTCAAAGGAAGATGTGAGTTGCCCATGGTCATACAGCTGGTGGAAAAAGCATGACCAGTGAAAACTCCTTGGGGGAATTGTTGACATCTACTACAGTTCTTCTGGGACCCCATCCCTCCTAGGATACATGCCTGGATCGAGACCAAAAGGCTGCAGTTTGGCAAAGGGAACCCTAAGGCGCGTGCTACCTTGTGAGGCACCAAGGCAGAGACAGACGGAGAGATGATTATAGGATTCAGAAGTATCCCTGCAGCTTTGCTGTTGTTTAGTATTTTCTAACTCTTCATGACCCCACTTGCTGTTTTCTTGGCAAAGATACTGGAGTGGTTTGCCATTTCCTCTTCCAGCTCATTTTACAGATGAAGAAACTGAGTCAAACAGGGTCACACAGCTAGTAAGTGTCTGAAGCCAAGTGTCTTGAACTCAAGAAGATGAGTCTTCCTAACTCCAGGCCTGGCATTCCATCTGCTGTGCTACCTAGCTGCCCCATCCATGGGGCACAGAAGCAAAATACTACCTTCCCTTTCTCTTCTCTATACCTCATGTTCAGGGCTTCCCCTTTTAAAGGAGCTGAGCTGCAGTGCCACCTAACTTAAAGCACCCCCCCCACTTGACTGGGTAAGTTTAGCTACAAGTACCCATCCCAATCACATAGCAACCCTACTGAGGAGCTGTTCACTAAAGCTGCCTCTCCTTTCCCAACCCTAAACTTCACAGTCCTTAAAAGCACCATTTAGTCATGTCACTGGCACCTTCCGTCATTAAGGAAAGGGATGGGAAAATGACAGACTCTGGGGCCTGGGACTGACATCCAGACCTATCTCCAAAAAGGCCTGCCCCCCTCCCCAGATTCTGCATAGGGAAAGGTGGTTTTTTTGGTTCATTTGTCTTAAGTGGGAAGATTATGTCTCTTTTCCAAACAGGCACAGTATCACTTTGGTCCAAATCTGGCTCCCACTAGAGACTGACTTTCCTTGAAGGACTGAATCTTTGTGGGGCTTAATCAACAATCTTACTTCCAACCTGTGAGAGACTATAAAAAGAATGTTACACTATATTATATAGGGACCCTTCCATTTCCCTCCAGGCACTCCCAGAGAAGGGGAGTGGGGTTCACAGCATTCAAAGCTGGAAAAGACCACATAGTTAAACCTCTCAATGGAAAAGGATGCTGCCAGCCAGAGAAGTCAAATATTTGTCCCAGGTCACACAGCTCAAGAAGAAGAAACAATATTCAGAACCCAGGCCATCTGAAACACCTACATCATGATGCCCTTTACACGATGCTATGAAGACGTTGGAAGGATTATCAAAGATCACCAAGATCTGTCTCCACCTGTAGAGAAGAAGGTTGGTGGTACCATCAAGCTTCCCACCAGACTTCTTCTCTACAGGTGGAGACAGAACATCTGCCAGGACACCTGGCAGATACCAAAGGGAACATAATCACTGCAACTCACATTTCTATGACACTTTAAGGATAATGAAGTACATTCCCCACGGTAATCAATTAACAAACATTTATTAAGTGCTTAGTGAGGAACCTAGGTGGTGCAGCAGATAGCATCATCCTGACTGGTGAATCCTTCCTTGGACAATTTCTAGCTATGTGCTCCTGGTCAAGTCATTTCACCTAGGTTTGCCTCAATTTCCTCATCTGTAAAATTGCGACTCTCTCACACACACACACACACACACACACACACACACACACACACTCACTCACTCACCCAAGCAACCTCACACTCACACAGAACTTTGTTGAGGGTTAAATGAGATAACAAAGGTAACTTGAAAAAGGACTTATATACATGCTGCTGTTATTACTATGGGCCAAGTAATGCATAATCATTACTACTCATCAAGCTCGAGAAAAATCAAAGACACAAGTGAAACAACTTACATTCTAATGAAACTAGCCTAAAGGTGACTATCCCTAGGTGGGGGGATGGGAGAGTTTAATTGACTTACACTGGACTCGTATACTTTTGTCAGAGCCAGGATTTAAACCCAAGCCTCTCTGCTCTAAGTCTAGCATTCTTTCTCCTTCCTGTGAGTTGGGGGTGGGGAGGGAGTGGGGGAGCTAAAGCATTTATTCCTCCTACATGTTCTGAGAGGCTAGCTTCCAGGCTTCCATCACTCAACAGGCAACTGTTTCTCTGACTGGACAGGGTCAAGCCTCACATCTCCAGTAAGTAACTGGCCACAAGCTTCGTATACAGTTGGCCAGCCAGCCAGCCAGGGTCAGCAGCCATCAGGGCTAGTTAAGGTTCGTTCCCGATAGCACCAGGCCTCTGCTGCTCCTCCACCCAGGCTGGTCCACAGAAGCTCTTTAGGTCAAGTCCTAGGTTATGCTCCTTTACCTCCTGAGAATTCATCCCCAGGACCCGGCTTTTCCATCCCAGTCACTGAAAGAGGGAGCTCCAGAAGTCTGCAAGAGCTGAGGGAGGAAGGGCTGTAAATAAGGAGGGATCAGCCCTCTGAAAAGTGCCTGGCTTGTCCTAGGTGCTTAATAAATGCTTATTGACTGACTAATTCATCGCAGAGAAGGGACTAGAATCTAGGTCTCACAATTTCCAATTCATATCTTTCCATTAACACTGCAGAGCCTCACAACCCTTCCCCAGCAAAGAAGATTAATGTCATCCACCTTCTCAGAATAAAACTAATTGATTACTTTTCCTGCCTAATCCTGTCAGTCCTATCCAGGTTAATTGCATGTGGGAGGGAGGGGCAGGGCTGTCAATGATACAGAAGTTGCCAGGTTTTCCCTTACTCATCAGGAGGGAGGATAAGGGAAAAGCATTTTAGTAAAGCCAAGCCTGGAATGGGGAAGGAGGCAGGGGAACACAGTTGTTTTGTAAACAAAACCTTGACCACCCAGGAAGGCAGGATTCTTTCCAGCTCCAGCCTCCCTCCCCCTCACACACACGAATCCCACACTAAATGGCTTGCTCCCAATAGAGGGCTGGGCAGGGTGCCTGCCTTGAACACACCCACCTACCAAAGGCACTGTGGTATAGGGGGCTAAATCACTAACTGGAAAGTCAGAGCCTTTTAATACCTTGCCACTTTGCCTCCTTGAGACAGCTGCAGTTATAAGGGCTTCACCCTTAAGTGCCTCAGTCTACCCCAAAGGTAGCCTCAGAGCTAGGCTGTGTAAGGAGGAAAGGGTATAGCTATCCACGAGCCTGGAGGGCACTGCAAGATCTCTCTCAGTGTGAAATACCAACCACATCAACCACCAGTCCCCAGGCAAAGCCAGAAAAAGACAAAATGGGTAACTAGCTTTCAGTAGTGAGCCTGACTGATCTGCTCTCTGCCCCCTAGACCCTAATCTGCCCGACAAGGTGCCGGCAATAATGAATGAGACGCTCCCATGTCCACGGAGACACCATGGCAACCCTGAAAATTGGGGAAGTAGCCCAGTAACCAGGGCAGTCAGAATACCTTTCCTCCCTAGACAAAAAATAAATAAATAAAAAACACAACAACACCACCCAACAACAACTTAGCCCTATTGCAGCCCCTCCCTGCAATGTACTCAGAAACCCTTCGGTTTGGGGGTGAGGAGGAGAGGGAAGACAAAACTGAGGAGGCCACAAGATCTGGGACAAGTATCATTAACTGAGGGTCCTCCATCCATCACCTGTACCCAGAAACAAGGGGGAATGGGGCAGTGGACAATCCCCAAAGACAGACACTGTGTCTCTGTCTCTCACACACACACACACACACACACACACACACACACAGCCTAGATAGGAGGTCCCTCCCTACTCAGGCCTGGATCAAGTCAGGCAGGGCTCAGGGAAAGGAGAAAGGGGAAAATGAGGCAAACATCTCCTGAAAAGCGAAATTAGTCATCCTAAACTAGCCCCCAAAGGAGAGTAGAAGAAAGCTCAGAGCTAGGAAGGACCTGTTCGACAATGAAAGGAGGGGCGGGGACCAGGGTCTTCAGTAAGAAAGCCTTCAGAGTTGGGAGTGCCACTTACTGGTCCTCCTCTCCCCACCAGCAATCCTCATTTTCCCCACCTGGAAAACCAGGGAGTTTTAACTAGATAATCTCTAAAGTCCTTTCCAGCCTGAAATCCTATGACTTGTCACTGCTACAGACCTCAGAAGATTCACACAAGGTCTCATACATACTTCCCTGGTCTACTGACCGTTTCAAACTCAAATTTCACCCTCCCAGGAAAACCAAGAAGAAAGCAGGCTTCTACACCATGTGGAGAGAGCCTCCCTTCACCTCCAGGCATGGGGCACATTTCCTAAGAAACCAGGTGAAAAGGTGGTCCAAACAGGCATCACAGAAGATCTGTTTGGCTACAAACTGAGAAAGGACAACCAGGGTTTTAGTGTTGATGCCTGGAAACTCGAAGCAAGGAGACAGTCACTGGCACAGAGAGATTACACATTAAGCTTTAATTATCACCACAGCCAGCAGCATGAGGGAGAAAAACAGACGCACACACATATACACTACTATAGTGTCGGCCTCCATGGTCCTACGGACACAGCCTGCCTCACACAGTCCCATCATCCCACCTACACAGAACTAGAATCCCCAGAATGTTAGACCTTAAACATTATTCAGTCAACCTCAGATCCTCTACTGCTTAAGAGGGCTATCCTCTCCAGTGTAGACTATATCCCATTCAGGTCCTCCTCCTTTCTCTGATTCTTGCCCATACCCTTCTGTAAATCTTCCACAAAGAGAGCCCATCAAATTCAATGACAAGCTTTTCCTGGTTATTTTAATAAGCTGTGGATGTAGCTCTGGCTTTGTTATTCCTTGCTTTTGTTACATGACTGGTTCACCCACTTTTGGATTACAAATATCCTTAATGATACATATGCAACCAACTTGTTAATACTGAAACAGTGCTATTGGGAGACCTAACCATTACTGATACTACCTGTGTGACCTTGGGCAAGTCACTTAACTGCCTCTGGTCTCAATTTCCTCAATTATAAAATGTACTAGACAGCCTCTGCAGCTCCTTCCTGCTCTGGCTTCTATGATCCTTTGTATCTTTTAAAGTGAGGTTCACAGAGAAGTGACTTTGCCCAAAGTCTATGTCCTAGACTCTGTTTCATACTTAGAATGAACTGTGAACATACATTCCAAAGAGGAGTCCAGAAACTCATCCACATTAGAGCCAGAACTGTGGTCCAACAGACCCTGTTGCTTCAGTACTTGGGGAGACAGGATGGGAAGGGGGAGCTGAGCAGGAGGACTGAAACTTGCCCCCACCCCTACAAGCACTTTACCTCCCCTAAAACAACTTTTGCTAACTGTGACAAGGGGTTTTCCAGGACCCCAAAGACCATAAAAGAAGTAAGCAGCACTGCATTTTTAATAGTCCTGTGATTTCCCAGAGCCAAAGACCCAAGCACACACTCAAAGAGCACTGAACTGAAATCTGTCACCTTTTGGTGCTTTCTGCTGCCACCGCAAACTGGGCTCCCACCCTGCGCTGTCCCTCTGTATGCCTTAGGAGCCTGGAAACCCCCTCCAATTCTTATCAGGCCCCATCTTAGGAAAAAGCCTGCAATGCTAGAAGATTAAGTTTTCCTGCGGATGCTATTCATTAATGAACTCCATGGAAGAATGTAAGTACACTGGACTGAGGAGCCAGAAGACCTGAATTCTGAGACTGGCTGTTACTCACTGTGTGACCTGGGGAAAGTCACTCTTCCCCCTCCCCAAGTTTCCCCATCTATAAAATAAGATGTTGGATTCAATGACCTAAAGTCCCTTTCAAGCTCTAAAATATAAAATTCATCAATATGGAAAACTATTTTGCTTGACCATGCATATTTGTTAACAAGGTTTTTTTAACCCTGGGGCACCTAAGTGGTGCAGCAGATAGAGTGCCAGGACCAGAGTCAAGAAGACCTAAGTTCAAATCCACTCTCAGACACTTAATATCTCTGCGGGTATGACCCCGGGCAAATTACTTAACTTCTGTTTGCCTCAGTTTCCTCATCCATAAAATGGAGATAATCATAGTACCTACCTCCCAAGGTCGTTTTGAGGATCAAACGAGGTAATACTCATAAAGCATCTAGCACAGTGCCTGGCACACAGTAAGTGCTTTATAAATGTTAGCTATTATTATCATTCTTTTCCCCCCAGTGGGTGAAGTAGGAGAAAGGAAAAAAATGCTTGGTAAATTAAAAAAAAAATAAAAAGATTCAATCCTATAAATCAATTAATGATGAAACCAGTAAAATACTCATGTAGACTCTCATATTTGAAGGCAACAAGGGAACACACAGTCAGTTGGCATCACAGATGAGATTTGAACTCAGATTCCCTGACTCCAGGTCAAGGGCTCTTTCCATCATTCTGTCTCTGCAACATCCCAGAAAAGGATTCATCTGGTTTTTAGGGTTAAAGCCCTCTAATGATAAGACCCTCAATTCTTCCTAAGGCAGTTCATTCCACATTTGGGCAGCTCTCTTAAGTTTTTCCTCACACTGAGCTGAAATGTACCCCTGCATTTCTACCCATTACTTTAAGTTCTTTTTCTGGCATCAAAGCAAACATATCTCATCCTTCTTCCATCCAAAATACCGTCAAACGGTTGAAGACACTTCCCCAGGCTTCTCTTTTCCAGGATAAACACCTTTCATTCCTTCCTTAACCCAATCATTCTACAAACCTCACCACTCAGACTTCTTTTTTACCTGTCCTTCCTCACTAGTGGCTCCTAGACCTCGATCTGACCGAGGAAGAGCACAGCAAGACAATAACGTTCCTGGTTCTGGACATTCAGCCACTACTAACACAGCCTGGGGGCTTGTGAGCTTTTCTGGCTATTGTTACACTGTTGACTCACGTTGAGCTTGCAGAACATGAAAACCCACAAATCTTTGTCACGGGAGCTGCAACCTAGACACCCATTCCCCAATCTTATAGTAAGGAGTTGATTTTTTTGAACCCAAGTGTGGACTTTATATTTGTCCCTATCACATTTCATCAAATAAGAGGAATATTATCTAATCATATATAATAAGATTTGGCCCCTTGCTTTGGCCAAGATCTTTTTATATCCCAATTCTCCATCCAATTTATTAGCCATCTCATTATATCACTGTTTCATCTACAGATTTTGTGCCATTATACCTTCCTCAAAAAACACTAATAGAGACAAGGCCAGACCTCTGTTTATAGGTCACTACAGACCTTCTACTAGGTTGACATCGATCCATTAATCACAATTCTTTGCATCTAGTTATTTTCAACAAGTTCTCAGTCTACCTAATGGTATACATGTCTGTCTACAACTCTACATTTTGGCTTATAAGGATATCATGAGAGCTTTCATCAAATGCCTTGTTAAATTCAAATATAGCATGTCTACAATATGACCGTGGGCAAGTCATGGGTGGGGATTAGGGATGGACCCTTCTGGTCTCCCAAGTCATTTACATGGTGAACTAGAAACTGAAAGGGCATGGGAGCCGAGGACAGCTGTGATAACTCCTAGGACAATGAGAACGAACAGAAAAGGACTCTTTGTCCTTTGCTTCCGAGGGAAAGCCGGGGCTGCTTTCCCCTCCCTTTCTCCCCCCTTGTTTGTCTTGTGTAAGTGGGAAGGGGATACTAAACTCATGATCACCACCCTACCATGCATTGCTCCTCATACCTGGACAAGTGGCTTGGAATTTCATCAAGATGCTTAAAGGGGAGCTGAGAAGATAAAAGCCACTGGTCAGTTCATCCTTCCTCCCAGGCTAGGAGCACGACTGTTTGTGCCTCGGTTCCATTCCTTGGAATTCCACCTGTTGGCTTTACCTTCTGCTCTGGTTTTACCTTCAGCCTCAGCAGGTGACTCCTGCAAACTGATAAAACAGAAAAAAATCAAGGAGAAACCTCAGTTATCTTATAGTCCATCACCTTTTATAGAGAAGACTAAGAACCAATGTGGGGAAATGACTTACTCTAAATCACACAGGACTGGATGGCAGAGCTGGGGCTAGAACCCAGGCCCCCCGACTCCTGGTATAAGGGCTGGTTTCTCAAGTAGCTGGGCTTCCAGGAAAGAAAATAGGGCCCCTTTATAAATCAGGGGAACTCCCAGGGAAGGAAAGGCTGGGAGACAGTCACGTGTTAGCAAAACAGGCTTCGTGCCTGCTGCTTGGTGTGTGTTGTGGGGGGAGCTTTTTCCAGAGGGATTGATAAACATCTTTGTCCCTCACACAGGCTGCAGATACTTTTGCATTGTTCCAACAAAAACGAGCAGGACAAGGAAGGGCCTGTTAAACCATGAGATTAAACAAATGCAGTAGCAGAATAGCTAGGGTCCAATTTCTATCACCAAGGCCAGCTAACAAGTTATCTAAGGCAACTGCCAAAGAGGCTTAGAGGCAGAGTTGGGGGAGTCTCTACCGCCTGAGAGAGAATGAAACAGAAAAATCTTCTTCCAGTTACTGCCAGGTCGGGATCAGCTGGTTATATAACCCAGGCTTCAGTGACAAAGCTATTTGCAAAGCAGTACCAGGAAGGGACTGCACTCAGGCCCTTAAAAATCATGTGGCTCCCTCCCTTCCCTATCACGTCTTCCCCTACCCCCAAGATTCACCAAAAACCAACAGGCCTCTAAGACATGAGATGTTCTGCAGAGTTCCACATATCTTAGAACACAGACTATCCTAATTCAAAGGGTAGCCAGAGAACATAGAGTGTCAGGGCACCAATGGGATGACAGGGAACATCTAGCTCAACTTCCTTACTGCCCAAGAAAGGAAACTGAGGCCCAAAGGAAGGAAGTGACTTGCTTGGAATCACAGAGCAATTTAACAGCAGAATCAAGATTCAAACCCAGATCTCTGGCTGCCCACAGTAAGACTGCTGCTCTTTATACTAATCCTGATGCTTCTTCCTCCTCAAATGCGATAGTAAGCCCAGGTTTGCTCCCCGAGGCTGGTGTGGAAATTCAGAAATATCCAAATGGCCTCCAATTCCCAGGGAAATTGGAGAGGGGTGAAGCAGGGAAAAGACAATCAGAAGACAGCTGGGTGATTCTGGAAAGCATAAAGGCAGGGCAGCTAGGTGACACAGTGGAGAGAGCTCTGGGCTCAGAGTCAGGAAGACTCACCTTTTTGAGTTCAAATCTAGCCTGACACTTACTAGGTGTGTGACCCTAGCCAAGTCACTTAACCCTTTTTGCCTCAGTTTCCTCATCTGTCATATGAGCTGGAGAAGGAAATGGCAAACCACTTCAGTATCTCTGCCAAGAAAATACCAAAAGGGATCACAAGATGTCGGACAGGACTGAAGAACAACTGAACAACAACAAAGGTGGGCAGGAATTCTGCTGGGTCTCATGGGCTACGTCTCATTTGTGCACACTGATTTATGATTTGGTACCGGTTTATTCTCTGCAGATTCTTCTAGCCTGGGAGTGGGGGAGGGCAGAGACACCCAGAGAATAATGGAATTCATGACAGACAATAGCCCCGTTGCTCCAGCTCTCCATGTCCCCTGGATGTGACTCAGAGCTCCCAGCTGCCCTGGAAATGACATGCAGTATATCTGAAGCCTCAGCATCTGGGGTCAGGAAGGCAAAGGACTGCCACAAGGACAAGCAAACAGATTTTTGGCCCTCCCCTCACAAATTGTTCTCATATGAGTTCAAAAAAAAATCACTGGAACCAACCTCGAACCATAACAGGTAGGTCTGCTGCCAACCCAATGTGGGGAGTCAGAGTGGCTGCAAGTTTCCACCGGGCAGTGTCTCTCATCTCTGTCCCCGCCTTTTTTCTATTCCTACCACCTCTCCCCTAAATTAAGGTCCAATCACCTGGAGTAATATTGCAACTGGTCTCCTGGACTCCAGGCTTCACCCCCTATGCTTTTCCACACTATCCTACTCAACTGTCAGATAAATCTTGGTAATCTAGAGTTTTAATCCCGTTACTCCCCTACTCAAACACCTTCAGTGACTCTCCATGGATGGCTTACTGAATCAAGTCCAAACTCCTTCGCCTGTATTCAAGCCCTGTATCTTATCTTTCCAGCCTTATTTCATGATATTCTCTAACACCTACCCTGCCCTAGCCAAAGTGGCCTCTATAAACATCTTTGTGATTTGGTTCACACAAGCCCCTCAACCTGGAATCCTTTCTACCTCTAATTCTACCTATTCTTACCCATTCTTCACCAGCTCAAATGCCACCTCCACTCCAGGAAGCCTTCCTTGATCCTTACAGGCAGAGACAATCTTCCAATCTCATATAGAATTTTATAATTCTGAGGCATTTATCCTGCTCTGTTTACCGCTGGAGTTATTTAAGTTCATAGAATTTCCCCTACAAGATGTAAAGTCCATGAGAGCAGGGATTGTCTCATTCATTTTTCACTCTCCCTGGAGCAGTAGCAAGGTACCCTGAAAAAGGAATTGGTTTTAAAGCCAGAAAGGTTCAGATCCTCCCTCTGACTTAATACTTATACGCCTTGGGCAAAAACACTGAATCTCTCTGGGCCTCAGTTTCCTCATCTGTAAAATGAGAGATTTAGCCTCTGAACTTCTTCCAGCTTTAGCTAGACCTATGACCTATGACTCTAGGACATAACACAATGACCTAATACACTTAAGAAATGGATCTTGAATTTAACAGAACACCACAAAACACTTCTCCAGTCAGTCAATCAATCCATTAAACCAGGCACTCTGCTAAGCACTGAGAATAAAGGATGAAGCTGAAACTTCCTGCCTTCAAAGCCTTCACATCCTATCAGGGCAGACAACGTGTTCATAACTATATACAAAATAAATGCACGTTGGGGGAGAGGTACCTGTAGCTTGGGAGGAGGTGGGAGAGAAATCAGGAAAGGACGCATGTAGAAGACTAATTCATAGTATAGTGGACTTGAAGTCAGGAAGACTTGAATTCAAATCCACCTCAGACATTTAACAAGTGATATGATTCTAGGTAAATCACTTAACTCTGCTCAGTATCAATTTCCCCATCTATAAAAGAGAGAATAATAGCACCTACCTAAAAGGACTGTTGTGAGGATCAACGAAGATACCCTATGGAAAGTGCTTTGCAAAAATTAAAGCGCTATGTCAGTGCTAGCAAGTATAATGACTATTATGAGAAGGTGGTGCCTGAGTAGAACCATGGCAGGTGGATTTCATTCTCAACAAAACCAAAGAATGGCTTAACAAATTATGGTACACGAATGTAAATGGAATACTACTACGCTGTAAGAAATGATGTGTGTGCGATGAATGCAGAGAAACATGGGATCTATATGAACTGATGCAGAAGTCGGCAAAGCCAAGAAACAATAAATGCAGTAACCATAACGTAAATGGAAAGAATTACGTCAGTAAATCAAAAGTAAATGTAACAAAATCATAAAGATCAAGCAAGACTCAAACGAAGAGATGAACAGATACCCCCAACCTACCCTTTCTTCGAGGTGGGAGGTCCACAGGTGTAATTCATTGCACATTTTCAAACTTTTTTTTAATTGACCAACTGTGCTATTTTTTTTCCTCTTTAAAATACACTATTTTTTATATGGGATGGCTCTCTGGGAGATGCAGGAAGAAGGATACTTGGCATAATGATGATGTAGGAAACAGAAGATATCAATTAAAAACTTAGTTTAAAAAAAAGGCACCAGGTAAGGAACTGTGGCAAGAGGGGTAAGGCTGAGAACACACGCCTCACATCCTTAACCTGACACCTCCCAGAAGGCCTCAGTCAGCCAGTGGGAGCAGGGAAGGGAGTGGCGATGAAGACCTGGAGAACCCAGCAGTTAAAAGCACTTTCTCTCTAGCCACCTGAAGAATTTCCTCCCCCAAAAAATCTCTAACTCCTAGGCATGCATGCCTTCCACTGAGCTCTCTCCTCTTGTTCTCTATCTTCCAAGTCTTCCCTATTTTTAAAAATGAGTTTTCATTGATGTATTTTGGGGATTTTTTACATCAAGCCCAGTTTTCTCTCGCAATTTCTCCCCTCCCCTTTCCAGAGAGTCATCCCACAACAAACAGTATTTTTTAATGCAAGGGGAGGGGGGAATCTACATGATTGATCATAACATCAAAAGAGTCTGAAAATCAATGCACTGCACAATGTGAACCCTCCACCTCTGCAAAAGGGCGAGAGGCACATCTTATCATCTCATCTTCTGAGTCAGGCCTGTGCTTCACAACTTCTTTCAAGCCTTTTCTAGTGGCCTCTCCATTCAATTTAAAAATAAGGTACCCGGGATGTGAACACAAATGAGAAAGAATGCCTGCCCTCAAGGAGCTTATGTTCTGCTGGGTGTGGGTGGGGCCAGGGTACAACATGCACACAAACGACTACAAAGTACATATAGAATAATACGTGTTAATTTCAAGAGATCTTTAACAACTGGGGGAGGGGGATCCAAAGAAGCTTAGGAGATGGCGACTCATCATCTCTAAAATGCTTCCCGACAGTTCCTCACACGTGCATCTTACTAAACTAATTTAATGGGGAAGGGGGTTAAAAAAAACCACTGGAATGGGAACTGGGATATGTGGGTTCTTTTCCTAATTCCCCCCCCCCCCGTGTAACCTTGAGTAAATCTCTTCTCCTTAAATCACTTCTCTCTGGGCCTCAGTTTCCCTATTTGTAAAATGGAGGGGTTTGGATTTAGATGACATCTAAGGTCTCGTCCACTTCTGCCACGCTCTGATCTCAGATTTCTTGACTGCAAAAGTAGGCAGAGATGCCTTGAGCTTTCCCCAGCCTACTAATTCCCCTCCCAACCGCTGCAGTGTGATTGAGCAAAGAAAAACGGAACTCAGTAGGAAATGGAGGGAGGCTCCGGCTCAGGACAGCTGTTCACTGAGTAGAAC